AGACAACTTGTCATCATACCTTCCTTTAATTCACTAGGTTTGGTCTCCTTTGGCTCTTCGAATATATTTATAATGGCTGTTTTGAAGTCTGAGCCCCTCCCAAAATAGTTTCCATTGCCTATTGCCCTACCCCCATATACACTTTCACACTTTCCTGTTTCTTTATATTTCTCATAATTCTTTTGGTGAAAACTAGGCATTTGGTTTGGGCTCAGTTGCTGTGGTGCAGTGCTAGCACAACACTCTGCAATACTGGAGTCACATGAAATATTGGGGTTCAGTTTCCAGGTTGACCTGAACACACTGGGCACACACATGCCCATGATCCTGAGAAACACTAGGAGGAGGATCATGGTGTGAGGCCCTATTGAGGGGTCTGTCTCTTTTCTCTGTCTCTCTGTCTCTCTCTCTCTTTCTCTCAAGAAAGGTCTTTCAAAGCATAATTGATACTTTGCAGCATATGTGCATATTGATTTCTTCTCTCCAGGGAGCTGATGTTTGCTTGGTGTTCATTTATTTGATAGTGATTTAAATGAACTAACTGTGAAATCTGTTTCCCCCACATTATGCAACCTCTAATCCCCTGCTCATATCTATTCTTTCCTTATTTTTAGCTCCTATCCTGGTCACCTGAGGTCTTCCTGGATCAGCATAAGCCGCTAATTGGTCAAAGGTTGTTTTAAACCTTTTGGCCATTTATCAATAGTTGTTTGCCCTTTACTGTTAGTGTGCACGTGGCTCAGAGGCTGCTAACCCAGTTCAGGAGTTTGTGTTTTGCCCATAGAAGGCAGGAGCAGGAACTTGGGTTGCCCTCTCCAGACTCTTCTGTGAGGACAGATAAGTCTTCTAAACTTCCAGACATGGAAGTTTAAGCCTAGCTTCTGAGAAGCTGCTCTTGGGTCAGAGCAGCGTATTGTTCAGCCAGTCTTTGGTCAGAGGTTGTGCTGAAGCCCCAGTACCAGAGGGGCTTGCACCCTTTGGTTGATCTGTGCACAGCGTTGGGGATGTTTCCATGTCCACCCCACATCCTGCTGCTGATTGGGTGCTGGCTGCCCTTGAGGCTGGCGATGACCCTAGGAAGGCTCTTCTGGGCATTGCTGAACTTGGTGGCTCTGCTTGCAACCACGGAGCGGTCATGGCTGAGACTCCCAACCCTCATCATTCTTACCTGCATTGTGTAGAGTTTGTTAAATGCATCTTTCTCCAGCGTTTCTTAGTCAATTTTCAGAAATGTCAAGTTAATAATTATTTTATTATTATCTCTGTTAAGTGGTTTGTGGAGGAGAGAGTCCTGCAAGCTCCTCACTCTACCATACGAGATAGAAGACAGCCTTCTAGGTGAAGTCATTCCTCCCTGTTTTTTCTCATATACTGAAGAACTAAAGAAGTAAAACTATAATAAATAATTTAAGTCACAGAACAATCACAGAGATGGTTTCAAAATCTCTTTCTGGACACTTTTTTATATATACATACATATTATGTATATACATATATATATGTATATATAATGCCTTTTAGAATCTGGCAGAAGGATGTGTCCTCTTTGGATAGATGTGGAAACTAGGATTCCAAGGGTGTGGCCAGCATCACTCTATGGGTGTGGAGCCAGGTTGCTAATTCAGGTCTTCTAGGATTCTCCCACACTGACTACCCGCCAGCCAGTGCCCCATGAGTTCCTGACACAGGACAAGTAAATTTAATCTAGTCTGGAAATCGTGGCCACCTCAGATGTGACTTGAAGATGATAGTAGGAGCTAGTCATTAATGGGCTTGCTTGACTACTTTATGTGGTCGCATCCTGCTGATTGAAAGGAAAGATCATGGGACCAGCAGGTGGCATGGAGGTTAAGGGCGCTGGGCTCCCATGTGGCCAACTGTAGTTCTAGTCCTGAACCTGGCAGCTTGCTTTCTCCCTTCCCCTTTTTCTCTCTCTCTGGTCAAATTAAAAAATAATAATAATAACAACAAATAAAGTTAAATAAATACATAATTTTTTTTAAAGGAAAGGGTGGGAACCAGCAGTTGGCATAACAGCTGTTGCCAGACTCCCATGTAGTTGACCGTGGTTCGAGTCCCAGACCCAGTGGCTTAAACTCACACTGGGCATGTGTGCGTGCATGCCCAAGATCCTGAGAGGAGAATGGAGGAAAAGAGATTGCAGTGTGGCCATCCGCCCTGGGGAGTGATTTCTCATTTTCTGTCTCTCTGTCTCTCTCTGTCTTTCTGGCAAGTGCATACACGCTGTAGCAAAAACCTCTCCAAAAACAAAAAAAGGAAAAGGTGGATTCTTGGGCTGTTCTGTGATTTCAGATATTTATTATAGTTTTACTTCTCTAGTTCTTTTTTTTTTTTTTTGGAGAGATTTTCACTATAGGGCTTGTGCGCTCGCCAGACGGAGAGAGACATAGAGACAGAAAGTGAGAAATCATCCCCCAGGGGGGATGGTCACGCCGCAATCCCTTCTTCTCTATTCTCCTCTCGGGATCTTGGGCACGCACACACATGCGCCCAGCATGAGTTTTAAGCCACCGGGTCCGGGACGCGAACCGCGGTCAACTACATGGGAGTCCAGCGACATAGCCATTACGCTAACTACTGGTTCCCTACTTCTCCAGTTCCTAAGTAGCAAAATCTGAAGAAGAACTGATTGGGGAAGAAAACAGTGGTTGTGGGGGAAATTGCTTTATTTTGTACAGTATACATAAGATATCATTGCTTTGTTGAATTTTAGGTCATTCAGAAAGTTTTCAGGATTTTATTTGGAGTAATAATGACAAGTATTTACAAGGAAAGTTGTTGCTGCTTCTCAATACAGTTTTCAAGAGGTTCACATTGGTCACTGACAAGCCTATCCTTTGTGATGCCAGGGGACTAGAATGCAGGCTATTGACCTGGCATGCCTGATCATCCACCTGTATGTGCGCCTAGTTCCCTGTCTGCCTTCCTAAATTTTATACATCACTTTTATACTTTGTTAAATGGAAATTTCTCTCTGTAACTGTCATAGTCTACTTCTACCTTAAAATGTCACCTGCCCAATGACATTAAAAAAAAAAAAAATCTATGTCAGTGACTAATGTTTTATTTAATTAAATTTATTTATTTATTTATTTATTTATTTTAGAAAGAGATTTTTGCTATTGGGCACATGTGCTCACCAGAGAGACAGCAAAACAGAAAGCGAGAAATCACCGCCCCCCACCCCCACCCCTGGGAGTTGGCTATGCTGCAATCCCTTCCTCTCCATTCTCCTTTCAAGATTTTGAGCACATACACACACATGCCCAGCATGAGTTTTAAGCCACTGGGTCCAGGACTTGAACCACAGTTGACCACGTGGGAATCTAGCAGTGTAACCATTACACCATATGCTGGTCCCAGTGGCTGACTTAAAAGGTTCTGTTTATTTGGAATGCATTGTCTTCCCTTTGTCCTTCAAATCAAGTCACGCTGCATTTTTTAACCTAGGTGCTCCAGATTTAAGAGCAATGCTACTGAAGGGTAACGTACCATTTCAGTTGTACCTTGTCCATATTATTGTGTGGCCATATACTTTTTGTTGTTGTTTTTGTTTTAAGAGAGATTTTTACCACAGGGTGTGTGCACTTGCAGAAGAGACAGAAAGTGAGAAATCACTCCCCTGGGGAAATGGCCACACCGCAATCTCCTCTCCTCTCAGGATTTTGGGCACACACACATACGCACAGTGTGAGTTTTAAGCCACCGGGTCCAGAACTCAACAGCTGTCGACTATGTGGGAGTCCAGCGATATAACCATTACGCCCTCTGCTGGTCCCTCAGCCATATTCTTCTAATAAAATTTCAAACTGCTCATAGAATTGTTTCGTACTGTATAAAGCAACTCTCCAATCTTTTGGAGAGAGTTTTAAATATTTCCTGCTTTCTTTCTTTTTAGGATTTATACTTTAGGGGGTTACCATTCTTTTCTTTAGAAAGTTCCCTTTTCTCCTTGGTAGATAACCTAGTACTGACATTAGAAGGTGTGACTTTATCTCCCTCTCTGGACCAGAGCAAAGTCTCTGGAATAAGAAGGCAGGAACCTTCATAAGCTGAATGTCTTCTCATCTCTTAACACATGTGTTAATGAGTCTGTTTTGTTTTTGTTTTAAATAATTATTGATCTAATTTAATTAACTTATTTATTTTAATTTGACCAGAGTGAGAGAGCTAGAGAGACGGAAAGCGAGAAAGCAAGTCGCCAGGTCTAGGACTTGAACCATGGTTGTTCATGTGGGAGTCCAGTGCCCTTAACCACCACACCACCTGCCTGCCCCAATGGGTATGTTATTATTTTTTTTTTTTTGGAGAGTTTTTTGCTATAGGGTGCTTGCGCTCACCAGACAGACAGAGAAAGAAAGCGAGAAATCACCCCCTCAGGGGGGATGGCCAAGCCACAATCTCTTCTCCTCCATTCTCCTCTCGGGATCTTGGGCACGCATGCACACGCGCCCGGCGTGAGTTTAAGCCACCAGGTCCGGGACTCGAACCGCAATCAACTACGTGGGAGTCCATAGCCATTATGCTAACTGCTGGTCCCAATGAGTATGTTCTTTTAAAAACAACTTTGACTCTTCTTACCAGGAGATAGTCACAGATTAATTGTGCTTTGATGCGAAGACGAATGTGGGGTAGAACATTGACCAACATGAACAATGAAATGCCTTTATTAAGAACTATTTATTGAAAGTGCACAACAGTTCGGCGGGGGGTGGTGGTAAGTGTCGTGGATTTGCAGACCTGGAGCAATCCTACTAGGCAGGTGGAGTTTTCATTTTGTCTTCCCCAGCTCATTACTTACAATGAAACTGAATAAACTGGCCTCTACCCAGTGTGAAATGTTCTGAGTTTGCTGTGATTTGGATTTGTTGGGTTTCTATTTCCGCAGCTCTGGAGGGCTATTTTCACTTTCGTAAATCTGACTGTTGGAAACCAAGTGGGTGCTGTTAAAGTGACAATGTTTGCATCTCTTCTTCCAGGGAGATGACAGTCTATCTGCAATTACCTTTGACTCAGACTTTGAGACGGTGAGTGTAATTAGGAGCCAGCAGTTTTATCCCAGTGCTGGCTGTTTTGCCCTTACAGATGTTACTTACACATGTAAAACAGGTCCTCCTTCTCCTCAGATGTTGTGTTTAGAGCTAGAATGTGAATTCCAAATGCTATTTAGTGTTTGAAAAGTTTCAATCCTTTAGTTGGATTTAAATAACCATGGTTATAATTTTAAAACTTCTATCCAGAAATTAATCCTGAGCAGGGTTCATTTGAGGCAGATTACTCGTTCTTATCCTGCATCTGTTTTTGGGCCCACTTCTAAACTTTTAGGGAGGGAGAGGAGCTCATAGTGATGCAATCAGGCATGACTGGTGAGAGAAAAAAGTCTAGCCTCAAAACCAGGGTCCTGAAGTGCTAGGAACCAGCCTGGAAGGGAAAAGTGGGAAGTGGCCAGATTCAGTGGTCCAGTGACATGATGTGCCCCCAGTCAGGCCTCTCTGGGTTAGCTGGGCAAGCTGTGCTGGTCAAAAAGGAAGCCTGCTAATTGCAAAAGAAGCATGTCTTGCACAGACCCCAGTCTAAACCCTTCACATATCAGCCCTGAATGAATCCGGCACCAGCAGATCTTGACTCCACTTTATTTCTGTGGACTCAGGGGGTGTCTCAAGGGTCAGCCATTTGCAGTGGGACCTCTGTGTACAAAGTTAAGAAATTTCTCTTCATATTACTGAAGACATGGGCCCAAGATAACTCCCTGGAGGAGTAGCAATCCCAACCAACCACCCTGTGAAATTCCGTCTACACAGAACACGAAGTGCATTGTTTCTGCTAGATAGGAAGTAAGGGAGATTGGCCATAATACTCTGCTTGTTTGGTCTGGCGCAGAGCTGATGAGAAGAATGGGATTTGGAAGAGCTGTGTCATTTTTCCCAAGCCACTGAACTAGTAAGCAATAGAACCATATTTGGGCCCAGTTCTGCAGTTGACATCATGGTTGTCATGGGAGACTGTCTTCCAGACAGGGTTATTCCTTCATTGGACTTTTCTTCTTCAATGGAGTTTGCAGTTGACTTATTCATTCAAGGGTTCCATCTCGCTAAGTCCACAAATGGACACAGGTATGTTCCTGTGCCGCAGAGCTGGTCATTGGGACAATTTAGGTGGGAGAAGAATGGTCATTTGTGTGGGATCTTCAGTCTGAACATTACGAGCCCAAGGAACCTTGGTTTTCTGTGATCAAACCTGCACAGTGAGAGCTCCCTGGAGTCCTTGCTCAGCCTGAGCACCCACTGCACTTTCCTGGTGTTTGCCTTCTGGGCCTACATGTCTTTCTTTGCTCCAACACTGTTCACATCTCAGTTGGAGAATCTCTTCTTTGTTGCTCTTGTACCACTTCCAACCCATTCTCAGCATGTCAGTTTTTCACGGTTGTGACCACTGTGGGAGCTAATGAAAGCCCAGCATTCTTTACATCATTTCTTCTTTCTTTCAGAAAGCAAAAAGGAAAAGTTTCCACAAACCTCCACCCACATCACCAAGTAAGTATGACTGGGCCTCCTCCTTTCCCTTCTAATTTCCACCTTTTAACTCTGCCTTTGAAAAGCTGTCTGTCCCTGAAGTCCTGGGAGAAAGATAAAGACTGTTTCCTTCTCTTTGCCGGTAGGATAATTGTGCTACATCACTTCAGCCAATTGGCCGTTGTGTTGAGGACCCCATTCGTACCAGAGTATGAGCTGTCCTCGGGGCCAAGAACACTGAGCAGAGCCCCTCACAAGACACTGTGTCTCGTGGCCTTTTGTTTTCTCCTTTCTTGTTTCTTCCCAGAATGCTGCCAAAGTTAAAGGATTTTTTTAACCTAGGATTCGTTACTTGAGAGTCAAAGCTGTTCATTTGGGCTCTGTACTGAAAAGATGTTGATGTTCCAAGACTTCTCTACTTTGGGGATCACCTGGCTTACTTTTTTTGCCAGGATTCTTTTCTTCGCCATCCTCAGCAGGAGAGGCCCAGCTTCACTGCCTTCCTGGGCAGTGGTGGAGGAGGTGCCTGCCTCTTGGGGAGAACATTGCTGAGATGTGGTTAGTCAGGTTAGCCAGACCTCTCCTTTGTGTCTGTTGTTCTGACATCGCTCTAGCACAATGATCCACATGCCAATCTTGGATAGTTGGTTTGCTTGCTTTAAAAGTTTATCCATTTATTTCTTTTCATGAGAGAGAGAGAGAGAGACCCAACAGAGTCCTGCTGTGCTGTGAAACTAGAGCAGCCTTCTAGCCAGCCAGGACTGTGGGCAGACCTGTGACAGCTGGGCCACATGCCAGTGTTATAGTTATAAACATGCTATAACAAGCTCAAGTCATAGATTGACTTCCTTTTGCTACTCAAAAACCTGTAGCCTCCTTTGACTTTATCATTTGTATGTGTCTATATATATTTTATAAACATTTGTCATGTGTTTCAAACATAGTGAGTCATATGTATGACACACTCAGAGATTATAAATGAACTTTCACACTGACCCAAGAAAAACATAATTAGAAAGGTAAATTCCTGCAAAGAAAAGAATGCATGTTATATTAGGTTGTCAGGAAAGTCATGACACATTTTTCTGTTTTTCTATGCAAAAATACATCATGACTTTCCCAACAACCCAATATATTACAAATATCTATAAACATCAGCCAGTAATCATCTAGCAATTTGGGGGACCAGCAGATGGAGTAACAGTTACATCGCTGGACGCCCATGTAGTTGACCGCAGTTCAAGTCCTGGACCCTGCAACATAAAACTCATGCCGGGCACATGTGCATGCATGCCCAAAATCCCGAGAGGAGAATGGAGGAGAAGAAATTGCAGCGTGGCTGTCTCCCCATGGAGTGATTTCCTGCTTTCTGTCTCTCTGTCTCTCTGGTGAGTGCATGGACCCTATAGCAAAAATCTCTCTTAAAAAATTTTTAAAAATTTTTTAAATCATCTAGCAATTTGGATATTTTTAAGAATTATTGTATTTAACTTTATTTATTTACTTATTTTAATCTGACCAGTGAGATACAGAGATTTAAAGAGAAAGTGAGAAAGCAAGCCAGTTCCAAGACTCTATCCAGCACCCTTAACCACTGCGCCACCTGCTGGCTCACAATTTGGATTTTTGATGTCCTTTTTCCTTCCATGGAAATAATTGTGAATTCATATGAAATAAACTGGTGTTTATGTGTTGAACTTTTAAATTTTAGAGCTATTTTTCTAAGCATCTAGGTTTGTGGCAATTTATCATGCACCATGGGAAACTAAAGCATCCCACATTAAAGAGACTTATAAGAACATACTTTGTATATTAACATATAAATGGCTTATTATTTTGTTCTTGAATACTCTTTTTAAACATTTGTTGGCTTTAATCTCACATACAATAAATATCAATGAATATGACAAACAAAACCTCTTTGGGATACTCATTCATGTGTGTGTTTGTATATATGCACATGCAGAATAGAATATTACCGAGTCATATAAAAAGGAAATTCTGCCCTTTGCCACAACATGGAGGAACTTGGAAGATGTTCTACTAAATCAAATAAGACAGACACAGAGGGCTGGCAGGTGGCGTGGTAGTTAAAGGTGCTAGATTCCCACATGGCCAACGGCAGTTCAAGTCCCAGATCTGATGGCTTGCTTTCTCCCTTTCTCTTTTTCTCTCTCTCTGTCTCTCTCTGGTCAAATTAAAAAATAATAACAACAAATGAAATTAAATAAATAAATAATTCTTAAAAAAAAAAAAAAGACAGACACAGAAAGACAGCTGCTATGTGATCTTGCTTATACTGGAAATCTTAAAACATTGAACTCATAGAAAAAGAGAATAGAACACTGGTTGCCAGGAGTAGGGCTGGAGTAAGTGAAAAAAATGTTGCTCAGAATCTTTCAATAACGAGATGAGCAAATTCTAAGGATCTAATGGGCCATGACAGATGTGTTTATTAATTAGATTGTGATCATCATAAATAATGTATACGTGTATCGAATATCACATTGTACACTTTAAATATATTCAGTCACTATTTGCCAATTAAATATTAAAAACTATAAATATTCCTAGCCCTGGTATCCACATGGTGATTGACACTGCTACTCAGCAGGCTGAGACCACGTAGGAGGCCTGGGTTCAATTCCCAGCCCACCCTAAAAGTCCAGACATGCTGATGGGCATCAGTAGTCCAAACAACTTGGGAGACTGAGGCAGAAAGATCACAATGTAGTGACAACATGTCATATATATATTTTGAAGTGTGCATATATATATTAAAAATATACATACATATATAAATAAATGTATATTTTGAAGTGTATATACATATGCATGCACACTTTTTTAAAAAGCATGGGGGAGGTCTTACACTGAAAATCCTGAGAATCTCTACTCCTGTAACCTAACTCCAACATTTCTTCACCTTCCCAAACACATTCTAACCATAAAGATAAGTCCCCGTTTTCCAAATATGCTCATCTTTTTAAGTTTGTGTGTCTTATTTTTCAAGAATGTTGAACCAGTAATTCTCCTCCTATCATTGTATGGTGAAACCTCATCATAATTAGAAGTGACATTCACACTATTTCTACCTCTGAGCTTAGAAAACTGAATAGTGTAGTAGTTACTTGCATAGGGACCTGCATTGCCACCTATACCCAACAGAGTGACCTTGCAGCAGGTACAGGAGTTCTTGGAGTTTCAGCTCCAAATTGTGTCAGAAAGTGTAAGTCAATGGCAATTGTAAAGTTAATTGATATGGGCTATAACAACTGGACTCTAATAACAATCAAATAGGGGCTGGCAGATGGTGTAGTGGTTAAGGCACTGGACTCCCATGTAGTTGACCGCAGTTTGAATCCCAGACCTGGTGGTTTGCTTTCTCACCTCCTCTCTTTCTCTTTCTCTCTCTCTCATCAAATTAAAATAGTAATAATAATAATAATAATAGTAAATTAAATTACATAATTCTTCTAAAAATAACAAATAAATAAATGCACAATGATAAGCGTTAATAGTCTTTGAAAATATATTATGTACTAGAAAGAAAGGGCATTGTATGGTTCATTTTATCAGAACCTCATGAAAATCTACCACAATCACTTTATTTAATTCATTTTTAGTTTGACAGTAACTAAGGAAAATATCTGTTATTGTTCTTCCTGAAAGTCAAACATTTCAAGTGCTGAAAATAATAATGATCAAAGTATTTTTATCTTAATGTCTGTAAATACCAAAAGTGTTTTTCCTGTCATTTGTCATCTATACTGGCCAGAGCCCCCAGTGTGGCAGAAGCGAGGGCGTGTGCTCTCCAGTCACTGCTGCCTGGGCCTCTGGTTCCTCCAGAGCCTGGGCTCTTCATTCTGGACCCCAGAACCTTGCTCTCACTTAGCCATCCTCTTTCCTCTCCTGGGTCCCTCTGGGACCCCTGGAACCAAGCTCAGCTCTCCTACACTCTCAGACCCTTCCCTAGATCTCAGTGTAAGTCACTTCCTCAGGTACACAACCCCTGGCTCCTGGACTAAGTCAGTCCTGTCATGTGGTGCCATGAAAATAGGGACTTGTCTGTCATTCACCTAACAAATATTTTCTTGAATGACTAATCTGTTTACATGTAGGTTTGTAGCTTCCTGAGTCTGCTGAGGTTTCTTTACCTTCCAGCTGTGCTGTGGGGAAGGCAAGGCTGGCAATGTTTCCGTCTTTTCAGAGTTGGTCACTTTTCAGGGCATACCCGATGCCAACATGTTTCCACCATTCTATTTTCATCTTTTCCTTCCCAGCTTCTATCCGTAAGCACACATGTTTTCCTGAGGAAACCTTACTAGTCATTGGTTAATCCAAAGTACATTTAGAGGGAAATGTAATTTGTGGGGCTTTCTGATTCCAAGTTTACTTTTATAAATGACAGCTTAAAGGAATGGTGCAGTTTGAGTGACCTACAGAGTATCTCAGAGGTGGGTGCCGTAGTCTTAGAGTGAGTGAAAATGCAAGTTTTTTTTTTCTTTTTTTAAGAATTATTTATTTGATTCTACTTCTTGTTGTTGTTGTTTGACCAAAGAGAGAAAGGGAAAGTGAGAAAGCAAGCTGCCAGGTCTGGGACGTGAACCACAGTCAGCCATGTGGGAGTATAACACCTTAACCACCACTCCACCAACTGGCCCTGAAAATGCAAGTTCTGATGCATCTTTTTTATCTCATTTGAAATTATAATGGCTAATTTTCCATAAATTATGAGACCACAAAAAAAACCCAAAACCTTAGAAATTGTGAGCCAGCAGGTGGTGTGGTTAAGGCACTGGAGTCCCACACGGCTGACCGTGGTTCAAGTCCAAGACCTGTCAGCTTGCTTTCTCCCACTATCTCTCCTTTCTCCTTCTCTCTCTGATCAAATTGAATAATAATAATAAATAAATAAAATTAAATAAATAATTATTTTTAAAGAAGAAATTTAAAATAAGTATATTAGATTTAAAGTTTCAAGAACTACTACAGATACAAATTTCTTTGCTATTTAAAATGTGTAAGAATGCTTCATGAGCACCTTAGTTTTTGCATAATTTTGTCATATTTTACATAATCAAAAAAGGTCCCAGATTTAAAAAATAATTTTAGAGACCAGCAGGTGGAGTGGTGGTGAATGTGCTGGACACTCCCGCATGGCTGACCATGGTTCAAGTCTCAGACCTGGTGATTTGCTTTCTCACTTCCCCTCTTTCTCTGTCTCTGTACCTCTTTCTGTCAAATTAAAAATAAATGAATAAATAAATAAAATTAAATAATTTTTAAAAGTGTTTCTTTCATTTCAATGACAAAATCAAGAATGCCTTGAAAGAGTATAAATAAATGTTATTGCTAAGACAATATGCAGCAACATGAAAAATATTTGCAATATCAAATATAAAGGATACAAAATTGTGTGTTTATTGTGATTATGACTAGATTAAAGAAATTGGATGGGAAATTAAATATAATATTGATAGAATTACAATATTAGAATTATTTATATTTTATTTTAAATTTCTCATTATGTGATTTATTTCTAATAAAAATTAAAAGAATATGTGTGTGTAGATTATATATGTATATATGTACATACACACTTACCATATCCAGAGTTGTCATACCCTTGGGAACTTTTTTCTTGCCATTTTTATCTTTCTAAAACACATATTTTGCAACTTTAAAAACCATGTATTGGCTTTTTAGAATCACCTTATTACTCTAAGCCAAGAAAAGTGGCATCCTGGCGATCTCTCAGGACAGCAGGGAGCATGCCTCTGGGTAGCAGAACGTCTTTAACTCCACAGAAACTATGGCTGGGAACTTCAAAACAAGGTAGGTGATTGCCCAACAGAAGTCCTTCCTACTGGAGAAAAAGGTTTAGAAATCACAAGGGGTGCTCTTCGAAGTTTTCATATTGTTTGTTTGAATTACATTGTCTTTTATCTTCTCGAAGACATCAAGTGTGTACAGCTGGTTTTTATGTCACATGAAAATGTAGTATCAATGATGACACTTTAGCCTCTCACATTCATGTTGCCTTGGCGCTGCCAGCAGTGGGATGCTGGAGCCAGCTCCTACCAGCTTGCACCAACCTTTATATTTTTAGGAGTTTTGTAAGCTAGTTGGTACTACTCTGGCAGCTTGAAATTGAACATTGTGGGAATGGGCAAATGCTACAAATCAGGGCTTTAATGATTTATTTTCAAGTCCTTTGTTAAACACTTATCAGTCTGCAATTGACTATCTATTATCTACTGGGTAACTTGGGCTTTCTTTAGCCTAGCAAGGTTGATTATTATTGGCAAGGCCTTCCATTGTGTTTCTTGTACCTGTCCTATTAAATCCATGCACATTCAAACCAGGAAGTCTGACTCAACCCTTGAAATCCAACCTCACCTTGGAGCATGCATGGACCAACCCCCCCAGCAGCACTCCTGACTATCTGACAGAAGCCTTAAGACTGAAGAGGTCAAATCTCAGGCGTTCTGCCAGCAATGGTGAGCATAGAGGTGGTGACAAGGTCGTGACTAGGGAAAAGCAGAAAGGAGAATCTTTGGGATTTGAGATGTCCTTTGTCATTGTGAGATGTTTGGCTTCCTGTACAGATCCATCAGTAGGACATTTTGGAATGTCCTGAGGACAGTGACTCATGAAAGTCCATTCTGCCATCCTAGACAGTGGCTTTCAAAGTGTACAGTGACATCTTGCCAGGATTCAATTGTACCTACTCCCTAAATTTAGAGTCTTATTTAAATTTATTGTATAAGGGCCAGCCTATGGCCTATTAGTTGAATCTTGATTCAGATCTCAGCCTCAATAGCTTGAAAAACACACCAGGCACATGTGCATGTGTGCCCAAAATCCTGACAAGATAGAGAAATGGAGGAGAAGGGATTTTGACATGACCATTTCCCATGGAGGATGCGTTCTCCTTCTGCCTTTCTCTGTTTCTCTGTCTCTGGAGAGCACATGTGCTCTCTGGCAAATTAAAAAACAAAACAAAACAAATTTATTGTATAAACAATTCTAGAAACAATTAAAATTGCAAATAATAATGAAAAGCCCAAATCTCACCACCAAAAGGAATTTGTTTGTTTTTTGGTTCTTTGTCTATGTATTTCTTGCCTCTTCTTACAGACTTCCCTCAAGTAGAACACTTACAATGCATGTTGAAAACTTTCTCACCGAGCCACATAAGCTGATTACCTTACTGCTTTTACTTGTTAAAAATTATGATTTCGGCTAAGAAAATTAGATACCTATTATATTAGGTATCATATTAAAACCAAAGTAAAACATTACTGTTTTACAGTGGAACGGGTATTGAAATGCTCTGTGCATTTTTTTTGTCTTCAGTTTTCATTTTGTTTGCTAGTTTTATTTTTTTTAATTCCTTATTTAATTTTACTTATTATTTTATTATTTTTAATTTGCCATAGGGCACATGTGCTCACCAGAGACAGAGAGAGAGGGAAAGTGAGAAAGCAAGCTGCCAGGTCTGGAGCTCAAACTGCAGTTAGCCACGTGGGAGTCCAGTGCCTTAGCCACCACGCCACCTGCTGACCCCATTTTGTTTGCTATTTTAAATCTAAACGTTTTTCCTTTCTTTTTGTGACTCTCTTCTTGATCCTTTTACTATAATTAAACTCTGTGCTTATATATTTAGTTTTCTTTTTCCCATCTTTCTATATCATTGCTATTTTTGATTTCCTTGCTTTTTGGGAAAGTATGATCAGGCTAAAAATGTTGAAATATTTTTACTCTTCTATTTTATCCTCTTTTTTTTTTTTTGATTTTTAAGGATAATTTTATTAACTTTCAGGTTTTCCTTAGGGCATAGCCAAGAATCCTTTCTACTTTTCAGATCATCTTTTAAGATGTTTGTGTATTTTCCTCTAGGCCATGTCCCTGGGACTCCTGTCTACAGAGAAAAAGAAGATATGTATGACGAGATCATTGAGTTAAAAAAGGTAGTATTTCTCTCTTTTCTTTATTGATTTTAAACAGGGAAAGCTTTATATGGTAATGGACCGGAAATCAGTATCTGTGCTGGGATGTGTCTGTATGGAAAGAATACACACTTTAGAGTCATACTGAGTTTGAATCCTGACTCTGAAGTTCGATATTATTATAAGATCATTTAGAATTATTATCAATAACATTACATTTATGTAATTATTTTATTAAGAGATTTCACATGTCAAATCTCAGTTGATCTCTACAGAAGCTCTGTGGAATAGGTAGTGCCAGTGGTTGCATCTGGTGATAAATCAGAGACTTGGAGAGGTTAGTCATCTGTCCAAGGTTAACCAGTAACAGAACCAGATTCAAGGTCATCTGCCTTCCAAAACAGATGAGCATCAGAGCAGTTTTCCAAGCAGTGCCTCAGTTTCCCATTTAAAAACGGGGATTATAATAGTACTGATTCCATAGGGTTGTTGTGAGGATTCAATAAAATCATCCATGAAAGTGCTTCAGTACAATGCCTGATATGCACTAAGAGATAAGTATAGACCATTTCTTTCTTTGTTCTTTTTCATTGCCAGAGGATACATGTGCCACCAGGGAGAGACAGAGAAAGAAAAAGCACCCCCTCATGGAGAATGGTCATGCCACAATCTCTTTTCCATTTCTCCATCCTGTTGGGAGTTTGGACACACACACACACACACATACATGCCTGGCATGTGGTTCAAGCCACGAGGGCTAGAATTCAACCGCAGTTAACCATGTGGATTCTATATCCCTTAACCACTCGGCTACAGGGCTAGTTCAGGATGATTTTTTTTTTAGAGAGATTTTTGTTATAGGGTGCATGCACTTGCCAGAGAGACAGAAAGACAGAAAGTGAGAAATCATCCCCCAGAGGGAATAGCCACACTGAAATTCCTTCTCCTCCATTCTCCTCTGGGGATTTTGGGCACGCATGCACATATGCCCAGCGTGAATTTTAAGCCGCCAGGTCTGAGACCTGAATCACGGTTGAATACATGAGAGTCCAGCGACACACCCATTACATAATCTGCTGTTCCCAAGACAATTATTTTTACAACTCATTTGAAATAATTATAATCCTAGAAATTTGCAAAGATAGTATAGAGAGGTTCTTTGTACCTTCATCTATTCTCTCCCAGTTTTTTGGTGCAATTTTTTTTAATAATTATTTTATTTATTTTTTATTATTATTTTCCAGTTTGGCCAGACAGAGAGAGACAGAGAAAGTAAGCCACCAGGTCCAGGACTTAAACTGTGGTTGGCCATGTGGGATCCTGTGCCTTTAACCACTATATCACCTGCTGGCCATTTCTCCATCCTGTTGGGAGTTTGGACACACACACACACACACATACATGCCTGGCATGTGGTTCAAGCCACGAGGGCTAGAATTCAACCGCAGTTAACCATGTGGATTCTATATCCCTTAACCACTCGGCTACAGGGCTAGTTCAGGATGATTTTTTTTTTAGAGAGATTTTTGTTATAGGGTGCATGCACTTGCCAGAGAGACAGAAAGACAGAAAGTGAGAAATCATCCCCCAGAGGGAATGGCCACACTTAAATTCCTTCTCCTCCATTCTCCTCTGGGGATTTTGGGCACGCATGCACATATGCCCAGCGTGAATTTTAAGCCGCCAGGTCTGAGACCTGAATCACGGTTGAATACATGAGAGTCCAGCGACACACCCATTACATAATCTGCTGTTCCCAAGACAATTATTTTTACAACTCATTTGAAATAATTATAATCCTAGAAATTTGCAAAGATAGTATAGAGAGGTTCTTTGTACCTTCATCTATTCTCTCCCAGTTTTTTGGTGCAATTTTTTTTAATAATTATTTTATTTATTTTTTATTATTATTTTCCAGTTTGGCCAGACAGAGAGAGACAGAGAAAGTAAGCCACCAGGTCCAGGACTTAAACTGTGGTTGGCCATGTGGGATCCTGTGCCTTTAACCACTATATCACCTGCTGGCCCCACTTTTGCACAATATTGAAACACAGTGTTGTCATTGGTAGAGTGTGTGTGGTGTGTGTGTGTGTCTTGTTATGTTTCAGAAAGAGATTCACTTAACTATCACCATCAAGGTGCAGAAATGTGTCACACAAAGATGTCCCTTGTGCTGCCCCATACTAGTCACGTGTATTTTCTCTCTTGCCCCCCTATCCTCCAGCAACTGTTAATCTGTTTTCCATCTCTATAATTTTGGCATTTTGATAATGTTATATAAGTGGAATTATATAATGTGTGCTATTCTGAGGTTGACATTTTTCACTCAGCATTGTCTTTGTGGTTGTCTAGATTATCGTATGTGTCAGTAGTTCTTTCCAGTCAGCACTGCTTCAGCTGAATCCTACAAATATTAATACAATGTGATTTTTTTAAAGAATTATTTTATTTAACTTTTTTTAAAATTTTATTTATCTATTTTAATTTAATCAGAGAGGTACAGAGCCAGAGTGAGAGAGAAAGAGAGAAAGTGAGAAAGTAAGCCACCAGGTCCGGGACCAGAACCGTGGTTGGCCATGTGGGAGTCCAGAGCCCTTAACCACCATGCCACCCGCCAGCCCTCAGTGTGATTTTTATATGTTATATTTTTGTTTTCATTCACTTTGGGTTTTTTTGTTTTGTTTTGTTTTACGTATTTTAAGACTCTTTGAGATGCAGTTTATCGTGTTGTTTGTTTCCAAGTTTAGAGATTTCCTTTTTTTTTTTCCTGTTATAACTTTAAGTTTGATTCCATTATAGCCACAGAAAACACACTTTAGAATTTCAGTTTTATGCTGTGTGACCCAGGATGTGGTCCATATTAGTATATATTCAGTGAGCACTTGAAAATAGGGTACTCTGTTATTGGGTGGAGTACCCTATAAACGTCAGATTCTATTTGTTGATGGTGGTATTTAGCTCTTCTATATCCTTGCTGATTTTCTGTTTAGCTGTTTTTATCAGTTATTGAGAAAAGGGAATTGAAGTTTATATCATTGCAAATTTGTCTATTTCCTTAGTTCTACCAGTTTGGGCTCCATATATTTTACAGCTCTGTCATTTGGTGCATATACATTTAGGATTTCTGTGCCTACTTGGTGAATTGACCTTTTAAATCATTACATAATGAGTCTGTCTGGTCTGATTGTTTATTTTCTGGAGTCTATTTCATCTGGTTTAATATATAGCAATTTAGGCTTTCTTTTTCATTTTCTTTTCTTTCCTCTTCTCTTCTCGTCTCTCCTCTCCTCTTCTCTCTTTTCCCATGAGTGAGCAAGAGAAAGAGAGAAAGAAGCAGCACCTCTAGCAGGGTACTGATGCCACAGTCTATCCTCAGCCTCAGCCAGCATTGGATTGTGGTCATGTACTATCTAGCATTCTCAGAAAGGTCTCTGGACTGTAACTGGGAGCCTTTATATCCCTTGAAAAGAATTGTTTTACTTCCTTCTGGCCTTGTGGTTTTGGTGGAAAATTCACTGTTATTCAAATTGTTTTTCTCCTATAGATAAGGTATTATTTGTCTTTCACTGTTTTTGATTTTTTAAGAGAGATTTTTGCTATAGGGTGTGTGCGTTCAACAGAGAGACAGAGAGCGATAGAGAGACAGAAAGTGAGAAATTCCTCCCAAGGGGATGGCCACACTGCAATTCCTTCTCCTCCATTCTCCTCTCAGAATTTTGGGTATGCATGCACACATGCGCAGTGTGAGTTCCAACCCGCCAGGTTCAGGACTCGAATCGCAATTATGTGGTAGTCCAACAACGTAACTACTACACCATCTGCTGGTTTCACTGATTCTATATTTTATCTTTATCTTTTAAAAGCTTTATTTTAGAAGTTTGACTGTGAAGTGTATTGACATAGACTTTAGTTTTTATCGTGTTTGAGATTTTTCCCAGCTTCTTGTCTTTTGTCAAATTTGGGAAATTTTCAGTCCTTATTTTTACAAGCATTTTTCTAGCCTCATAATTTTTTGTTATAGTTGCCTAGGTCCCTGAAGCACTGTTCATTTTTTTCTCTTTTTTTTTTTTAAAGAGTTTTCTTAAGCTGTTTTTCCAAAATTATTTATTTAATTCTACTATTATTATTATTTTTTAATTTGACTAGGCAGAGACAGAGAGAAAGGGAAAGTGAGAAAGCAAGCCACCAGGTCCAGGACTCAAACCACAGTCCACCATGTGGGAATCCAGAACCTTTAACCACCATGCCACCTGCCGGCCTCCCCTCTGTGTTTTATATTTGGATTGAGTAATGTCTATTGCTCTGTCTTCAGGTTCACTGATTGTTTTCTTTGTTTTCTCCCTTCTGCTGTTAAGCCCATCACTGAGTTTTTTTATTTTAATTATTGTGTTTTTCAGTACTATAATTCTCATTTGGTTCTTAATATCTTCTGTTTCTTTGCTGAGACATTCTTTTTTTTTTTTTCATTTGTTTCAAATATGTCCATTATTAGTCAGTGAAATATTTTTTTTTGAAAAGGTTTTTGCTATAGGGCACATGCGTTCGCCAGACAGAGAGACAGAAAGCGAGAAATCACCCCCCCGGGGGGATGGCCACGCCACAATCCCTTCTCCTCCATTCTCCTCTCAGGATCTTGGGCATGCACACACACGCTCCCGGCATGAGTTTTAAGCCACCAGGTCCGGGACGCGAACTGTGGTCAACTACGTGGGAGTCCAGCAACATAGCCATTACACTAACTGCTGGTCCCCAATGAAATATTTTTATGGTGGCTCTTTTAAATCTTTATCAGCTTATTCTAACATCTGTGCATTCAGTGATTGTTTTTTCTCATTCATGATGACATCTTTCTGGCTCTTGGTATGACAAATGATTTTGATTGAAATTTGGACATTTTAAGTATTATAAGACTCCAGCTCCCTAAATTTTATGTTTTAACCATCTGCCTCTGACACTACTCTGGTAGGTGAATAAGGGACACCACCTTGTTACTCCCAGGTAGGTGGCAGTAGAAGTCCAGGTCACTCACTCCCTCAACCTGTATGGATACCTACAGTTACCAGAGGGGCTTCTCATTGATGATGGGTATGGTGGGAGTTCAGACTCCGCACTTGGTATCTCCCTGACTGGGAGGAGGAGAACCCTCATACTGCTCACCACATAACCTCCATAATGCTGAGGGGGCCTTGATAACACTGAGCAGTGATATACCTCACTCTTTATGAGGCCTCCTCTGAAGCCACACCGCAGTGAGGAAGAGCAGGGACACCTCAGTACAGCCTCGGAAGGGGTGTCAAGGCTCCCCACTCAGCCTTTGCTATAGGTAGAACCACAGTGTTTTATGTGGTGCCTAGAGCAGAGTAGCTATTAGCTGTAAGTTTCCTGCCTTTTTGGATACTCTTTTCCTGGTCTCTTGGCTAGAGATAAGAGGCTTGTCTTGGGCCTTTTATTGTCTCCACCCATTGGCTTTGCCAAGCTAGTGACTTCTCCATCACCCAATTAGAAGGTAGCAAAAAGACAAGTGATACTACTATGTGGTTGCTTAGGTCCCTTGTCTCTGGACTGTCCACCTCCTTTTGTCACTTTCCAAAGGTTTTTTCTTCTTTTTTTTTTTTTAATATATTTTCTGCCATAGAGCATATATACTCACTGGCAACAGAGAGAAAGGGAGAGGAAAAGTGAGAAAGCACCCCTATCCCTACCCCCAAGGGGGAATGACTATGCAGCAATCCCTTCTCCTCCGTTCTCCTCTCATGATTTTAGGGCATGGATGCACATATGCCTGGCATGCTTTTTCAAACCACCAGGACTGGGACTTGAACCATGCAATTGGCCATATGGAATCCAACTGACTTAACCTCCACAACATCTGCTGGCCCTCAAGTCTACTTATGTCTCTTTTATACATAGTGCTAACAGAAATAAGAGGAAATATCCTCCAATCTAGTAAAAGATTTGTCTTTCTCAATGGCTGAACATTAACTAGTTTATTCAATAAACACTCATTGAGTGCCAGTTATTGGTCATGCTTCTTGAATCTGTAGGCTTGTCTGTAATAATCATAGCAGTCTTATTAGCTGTAACATATGGCTAGTGCTCCAGACTTTATCTCAGTGGGGTGTGCACTTTGAATGTCATCCCAGTGGTGGTGATTGGTTTTGCTCAGACATCTAGTCTCACTTTGGAGTGCCACAAGTCCCTGGAAGGAGAATGCCATGTACAAGATAACTGACAAGTTCAGATACAGGCCAATGTTGAAGTCAGTTAACAGTGGCATAGCCCCACCTGGGCTTCTAAAAACATCATGGTTGTAAAATGCTTTTTTAAAGGAAGACATTAAAAACAAAAGTTTAAAATATTCCACCATCACTGTGTAAGTGCCAAATAGTAGGAAGGATATAATTCAAAACACAGTATAGTTGGGCCAGCCCCATAGCCTAGTAGTTAAGGGAGCCAGATCCCACATGACTGACCACAAACCCCAGCTGCTGGTGACTTGAAAAACATGCTGGGTGTGTGTGCACATGCCCAAAATCCCCACAGGATAGAAAAGTGGAGAAGGGATTGCAGCCTGACCTTGCCCCAGTGGGAGCTGCTTGCTTTCCCTATTTCTCTGGCAAGCACATGCGGCCTCTGGCAATTAAAACAAAACAAAGGTAAAAATACAAGATAGTCATAGAAGTCAATGAGAAATTACTACATGGTCCTTTTTTATTTCTCAGTTCACCACAGATTGGTGACAAATTCATCTGACGATAAACATCAGGAACCACTGCTTCCCAGTGAGCCTTAGTGGCAACAAGCATTAACAATGAATTTTAGCCCTTGATCAGTTTTAGTGAGATGTGGTGCAGCATGGCAGAAAGCACATGACATTAGCTCCTTCAAGAGTTGATGTTTACAGTATCGATGTTAATACACCTGTAGGACAGTGGTTCTCAGGGTATTATTGGCAGTTTGGGTAGAAGAGTTTCTAGGTTGCATGGATTTTCTGCATATATAAGGCATTTGGCCCACTCTGGTGCCCACCCACTAAATGCTAGGAGTGCCCTTTGGTGGTCTTTATTGTGACATCCAGATCAGCCCCTCCCTCACACAGAGCCCTGAGTAGGAACCAGGCAGCTCTTAGAATTCTACTCTGACTCAGCGTCACGCCTCGCTGCTTGTGTGTACAGTGAGCATGTCATGTTTGCATGCGCATGCGTGTGCACACGGTTCCTTTTTTCCCTCAGTCATTACACGTTCAGAAAAGTGATGTGGATCTGATGAGAACAAAGCTTCGGCGCTTAGAAGAAGAAAACAGCAGAAAGGATCGGCAGATAGAACAGCTTTTGGATCCAAGCCGAGTAAGTCCTTGGCCCTTCACGGTGGGCTCCTATGGTCGGTGTCCAACTGCTGCCAGGGAGGCTAAACCGTATGTTGTCTTCATGTCTCAATCTGCTCACTACAGGGCTCGGATTTTGTTCGGACCCTGACAGAAAAAAGGCCTGATTCCGGATGGGTGAGTATAGTCTCCAGCATGACAGAGAGCCTCCTGCTGGGATCCTAGGCAGTCGCACAGCTGACAGATGCCTTTCCCAGAAGCACTCATACAGAAGACAGCAGAGAGAAGGGGAACGGGCTCAGAACTTTCTAGAAATATTCTCCGTTCAACCATAGGGATTACAAAAAGGTGCTTCAGGAGCTGTCTGGACAGTTAGAGGGAGGTTTATAATAGGCTTACCATAGAGGCCAAAAAACATACTGTAGAGAAAAAAATAGTCACATGGGTGACTTCTGCCATCATACCCAAAAATACCTTATGCTTAACAAGGAAAACTGATTTAAAACAAACAAAGCAGCAATAGAATAAAGTCCTTAAAACAGTTACAAACACCTCTCACATATGTAATAGGACTTCAAAAAGCTCGTGGAAAAATGGAATTAAAGTATAAGCTTACTAAGTGGAAAATTTTGAAGTATGTGCTTAGTTTTTTGTAATGCGCATTTTCTGTGAACCTTGTGAAAATCCCTCACATTATGTAATAAGTGAAACAAAATGATGGAAAGTAGAGCAATTGTATAGTTAACGCTATGGCAATAAACTACAGTAGCTAGAGAAAAGTGTGTCACCATAGACCTTGTATAGGCAAGGAAATACTTTTTCTTTTTTTAGATTTTTGTCATAGGGCATTTGTGCGCAGAGAGAAAAGGTGAAAAATCACCCCCAGGGAAGACGGCCGCTCTGCAATCCCTTCTTCTCCATTCTCCTCTCAGGATTTGGAACATGCAGGCATACACACCTGGCTTTTTTTTTTTTTTTTTTTTTTTTTTTGGGGGGTTTTTTCTACAGGGCTTGGGGGCTCGGAGAGCGACAGAGAGACATAAAGTGAGAAACCACCCCCCGGGGAGATGGCCATGCCGCAACCCCTTCTCCTCCATTCTCCTCTCAGGATCTTGGGCACACACAGCACATGCGCCCAGCATGAGTTTAAGCCACCGGTTCTGGGACTTGAACCGCAGTTGACTACATGGGAGTTCGGCAACATAGCCATTACACTGACTGCTGGTCCCAACACCTGGCATATTTTTCAAACCACCTGATCTGTGACGCAGACCAAGAAATCAGCCATGTGGGATCTAGCACCTTAACCACCATACCATCTATTGACCAGGAAGTACTTTTTTTTTTGGTAGAGATTTTTGCCTTATGGTGCATGCACTCACTGGAAAGAGAGAGAGAGACAGAGACAGTAAGAGGGAAAATGAGAAATCCCCTACTGGGGGAATGGCCAGGCCACAATCCCTTCTCTATTCTTAGGGATCTTGGGCATGCATGTACATGCTCTCATCATTAGTTTCAAGCCACCAGGTCCAGGACTTGAACCATAGTCGCCCATGTGGGAGTCCAGTGACATAACTGCTACACCATCTGCTGGCCCCAGAAATACATTTTTAAAATATGGAACACTGAAAGAAAATTGGAAGGACACAATTTTGAGATTATTGAATGCAAAGAAGAATACAATTATATCAATGGGGACCAGCATTTAGCACAATGGCTATGTTGCTGAACTCCCACGTAGCCGACTGCGGTTCGAGTCCCAGACCCGGTGACTTAAACTCACGCCGGGCGCGTGTGCATGCATGCCCAAGATCCTGAGAGGAGAATAGAGGAGAAGGGATTGCAGCGTGACCATCCCCCCGGGGGTGATTTCTCGCTTTCTATCTCTCTGCCTCTCTTTCTGGCGAGCGCACGCGCCTATAGCAAAAAAAACTCTCAAAAAAATTATATCAATGATGTGGTTAATGGATTAAATAACATAAAGTTTAGATTTATATAACAAAAGCCCATAAGACTAAGATGGAAAATGAATCAACATGAAGAGGGAAGGAAAAGGATATTATTGATCATTACAACAATGTTTTCTATCCAAATATGTACCAAAAAAGTCTATGCAAATCTCTAAATATCACAAATATATAATATATATATCCTCTATAAATACATTTAATACAAATGATTAAAACCAAGTTCTAGGGAACCAGCAGTTGGCGTAATGGCTATGTCGCTGGACTCCCACGTAGTCGACTGCGGTTCGTGTCCCGGACCTGGTGGCTTAAAACTCACGCCGGGCGCGTGTGCGTGCGTGCCCAAGATCCCGGGAGGAGAATGGAGGAGAAGGGATTGCGGCGTGACCATCCCCCCTGGGGGGTGATTTCTCGCTTTCTGTATCTATGTCTCTCTCTGTCTGTCTGGCGAGCGCACGCGCCCTACAGTGAAAATCTCTCCAAAAAAAAAAAAAAAAAACAAGTTCTACACCTAGCATGTCACAAAGTAAATACTTAACAAATGCTTATGAATGAATTGACATGTTTCCACAAGAAAATGTTTTTAGTTAATGGCACATCCTAAACATTGCATAGTTTTTCAGTTTGCACATGTACATAATTTCTTTTGATTATTTTTTTCTAAATGTGTTATTTCTTTGTTCATTATAGAGTGTGTGAAAGGGAGAGAGAGCGGGAAGAGGACTCCCCATAGGGTCTGGTCCGGCCTTGAGCCTATTCTTATGTTCCCTCAGCCCTTCGAGGGCTTTGTGCATGTAACTGGCCGGACTGGGGTCTGGCTTCTCTTAAGCAGCACAGTACTGCCGTGCTGTGGAGCTGGCCCTCATTTCATGTTTGTTTTTTTTTTTTTTCATTGCCAGAAGGCACGCATATGATTTTTTTGTAATAGGAACTTCAATCCCCACTTTTAAAATCAGAAAATTGAGGCTAAGGTATTTGCCCACGACAGGGTTCACACTGAGTGTGAACTCAGGGAGGCATGGTAGCGGTCTGCTTCCATACCCAGACTTCACCAGTACGTAATACTTGAATAAATTATTTGAATTTGCTATGAGAAAAACCTCATACCTTAAAGTAGCAAAATTAACAATAATGACCCAAACCAATATTGGCAGAACTGAGAAAGACCAGGTATACTCAGACTTGAAGACATTGTGTTTTAAGTTGACAATGACTAAGCTAAGCAATAATCTGTAAAATTGTTCCTACTGTTTGCCTAATACTGCTCTTTTTAGGACAATGGCTCAAGAATACAATCTCATATAAAAATCCATTTGTACAGTGAAACTTATAGCTGCCCAATTTGTGTGGAATCTGAGGGGAAGCTATTCAAAGTGGTATATAACTGTCTCAAAACATTTTCGTGAGAAAATTTTTCTAAGAATATAAAATAATGTAGCTATTTACAGAAATATCTACCTTATTCATTTAGAACGAGGATGTAGAATCTCATAAAAATGAATACTTTATTTTATAGAAAATGGGCTCTGTATATTTTGTTGTTTTGGCGCTGTGTGTGTGTTTGTGTGTACGTGTGTGTGTGTTTATTAAAGCTGAATAAAAGTAGAAATTCTAGATCACAGAGTAGGTACATTCTTCATTTTTGTTGTTGTTATTTAGGTTTTTGCCATAGGGTGTATGCACTTGCTAGAGAGAGACAGTGAGAAAGAAAGTGAAAAAAAAAAATACCCTGGGGGTTGCAATCCCTTCTCCTCCAGCCTCGTCTTGGAATTTTGGGCATGCACACACACATGCCTAGTGTGATTTTCAACTGTCGGATCCAGGACTTGAACTGCAGTCAGCTCTGTGAGAATCCAGTGCCTTAACCACCAGGTATACTCAGAATTGAAGGTCACTTGCTGGCCCCTACCTTCCTTATTTTAGTATCCACAGCCTTCATAGTGACCATGTCCTGTGACCAAATATTTCTACCATCATTGTCTATCCTTCAGATGTGCACAAAGATGCCTGGCCAAGGATTTTTATTGAAAGATGATTATAAATAACAAAAGTTGGTTACAACTTAAATATGTTACCACTAGGAGAATGGAGAAATATACTGTGGTGTGGAGCCAGTAGATGGCATGGTGGTTAAGGCGCTGGACTCCCACATGGCCAACCATGGTTTAAGGCCTGGACCTGGCAAATTGAAAATCACACCAGGCATGTGTGCACGTGTGTGTGAGTGGGGGTGGGGTGCCCCAAATTCCAAGATAATAAAGGAGAAGGGATAGCAGCATGGCCATCCCCCTGGGGGATGATTTCTCATTTTCCTTCTCACTGTCTCTATCTCTTTCCAGCAAGCGTATTTTCTTGATGGCAAAAACCTTAAGAAATACAAACACACACACACACACACACACACACACACACACACGCACACATACACTTTGGTTATCCATACTATGGAAGAATAATGTAGATATATAGAAAGTACCAGAGATTGATCACCACGAGGGTTTGTTGAATTTCAAGGAAGCAAGTTGCAGAAAGATACGATGTGGTCTCATTTCTGTAAATAACAACAAAATGCCATAATTCCAGTTGACCCACCTACACATGGCCATGCATATAATAAGATGCAGAAAGGTGCACACTAAGTCAGTAACAGGATTTAGTTGGGTGAAGAGGCGAGTGGTAAAATCTGAGTCTTTTAGCCTCATCTCTAATGTCTTCATTGTTTTCCAAGAAAATGGATTCATGCATTACTAATGTAATTTGAAATGACTTAAGATCCAATTAAAAAGTTGTCTGTCTACTCAAAACAAAATTATATTCTTCAAAGATTATACAATGTGATCTCCTCAAATGAGATAGTAACAAAGAAGGAAGTAATGAGGCCAGTGGCGTGGTGACCAGCAGTGTGGTCCTTCCTTCCCCAAAGAGGTGCACGGTCTCCTCAGACCTTTCCAAGTGCTCTGCCTCCATCAGCCCTGCTCACTCCAATGCGACGACTAGATCAAGTTGTCGTAGGGTAGGTTATGGTTAGTGATGTTCATAGCCAGTGATTGTACTGGGTTGTCAGAAAAGTCAGAGTGCATTTTTGCATAGAAAAACACGTCATGACTTTACCAACAAGCCAATAGTATTTAAAATGACTGAGGGTGCATCCTGACCGTTCTGCTGAGTGTAAGTGTGTTCCAAGGGAAAGCCCTGCTTTTGGGTGGCCCGACATCTTGCTCCGTCATTTACATAGCATTCCACAGTGAGCAAGCAGGACAGTGGGCCTTTGTCTCTCTGCCTGAGCCATCGTCTAGAGGAGAGGACAATGACTAAGGAAGGAAGGACGGTCAATGTGGACGTGTTCTGGTAGGGAGCAAGGGCAGAGTGCTGTGGGGCCGCCCAGCCTGGGGACCAGGACAGCCAAGTCTTCAGGGGAGTGTGGGAGGCTGGGCACTTTGGAAGGTAGACCTGATGGGGTGGCCTTCTGTCGCAGGTGGTTAATGGGCTGAAACAGAGGATCCTCAAGCTGGAGCAGCAGTGCAAGGAAAAAGACAACACCATCAAGTAGGAGCTGCTGGGCTGGGCTGGACGGGTCTGCAGGGTGCCCAGGGCCGTGCCCACTGCAGGCCAGCTGGAGCTGGCACCCTGCTCCTCTTGTCTCTCTTCTCCATGTTAGTCTTTGTTCTGCTTTCTCAGACTACAGCTTTAGTTTCTGCCACCAATCTCTGTCCTGCGTCCCTGCTCCCACCCAGAAAACAAAGGCCGATACTAGCTGCCTCTGCTTGTTTTGTATTATCTGTGTTCTCTCCCAACTTTATTAAGGAACAGTATTTATCTTTTTCTTTTTGTAGTAAGCAATGCTTTCTGCCTTAGTTTCTGTGGGTTACTTTTTATTTCTAATGTGAATTTACTGAGTCTTGATACAAGCCCGGAATACTTAGACATCTCCGCTCATTGTCCCCATCACGCACCCTCCCTGTGCTACTTCTAGAGTAGCTACACAGATATCTTTCCCAGTCTTTTTAGTGTAAGGGGTGGTCATTGGTGGTGGTTCAGTTTATTTAAGGAAAACAGGCAAGTGTCTGTCGCCTCATGTCTTCTAGTCACACAAGTCTTCCCCACTTGTTTCTTGCTGAAATCTATTAACTTAAAATATGCTAACAAATAAGCTTGATTATTTGCTGATTTCTTCTGTGTTTCAGAATGCTGAACTCTGTAACTCATTTCTCCATTAGCATCTTTTATCTGAAGTCTGTTATATGTTGAGAACAAGGTGACAATTCAGGGAGGAAATGATTCTCTTTTCTTTATAAAATTAGTTATTCTTGCCTACTTACCCCCAGACACAGTTTGTCCTCTCTAAACTCTAAGGTCTTTCTTTACTAGTTATCCAGTTCCTTAAAGACAACATCTTATCTGTAGAGGACTATCTTTGGTGAGTCTGTGCACTTACCTTGGGAAGTGGCTGGTCTAACACAGAAGGGAACTTTCTAGTGTGAGAAATTCTCCTGTCTACCTCAGAACGAGTTTGTTCAAGGCCATAACCCTATTGAGAGCCAACTCGCATTTTTTCTTTCTCATCCCAGTTCCCTTCCAAAGCCATTCCTTCTCTGAATATTCCAGGAAACCCCCTTCCTCTTGTTATGCCCCTGGGAATATTCATTCCTGGGAATTGCGCTCCATGCATTTTCACGTTGACTCTCAGCTTGGGTTTTCAGCAAACTGCAGACTGATATGAAGACCACCAACTTGGAAGAGATGAGGATCGCCATGGAGACTTACTACGAAGAGGTGCGTGCTCTCCTGAGCAGTGTAGAAGGGGGAGAGTGGCCATCCAGAGATGAGAGGAGAGCCCACTGCTGACCTGGGTGCTGGGCTGAGACTAGGCGGTGGCCCAGGGCTGCCCTGTGGGAGCCGGCACTACTGTTCCAGCCTCACTTGAAAACAAACCACAGCAACTTAGTTTTTACTTCCTGCCTCTAGGCAGTAATCAGGAATCTAACTAGCATTTTTTCAGAAGAAGCTCTTCCTCATGCTCATTTTGCATTTTTAATGCATTTTAATTTGTATTTACAGATTCATCGTCTCCAGACTCTCTTGGCGAGTTCTGAAACTACAGGAAAGAAGTATGATTATCTGTTTGGGAGCCTGGTTTTGTGTGTTGTCCTCATGTTATTGAAACTACTCTAGAAGCGGTGTGGTCACTACATGGAAACAGCATATACTGCCCTTCATTTTCCAGTAGTGCCAACACCCCTGCCTCTTTCTGTTAGTGGCTGGAGTTGGTATGTCCCCATTTGGGGTGTTTACAGGTGTGCCCTCATAATCGTTACTTGTTGACAACTGACACATGTGTAGTGCTCCATGCTTTCATTATACATACTACATAAGCAGCCTCCGGCCTGGCAGAGGCTTAGTGCATGTTCATTTTGCTTCTTAAAATTTTCTCCAAATAAGTTTATTAGGAAAGAAATCAAGGCTGTCCTTATCTCTTTCCTGATGATGGTGTACCAGCCTTTTCACAAATTATGGAAAGATGGTTGCTTATCCTAGATTTGACTGTCACTGACCTCTGCAATAAACTACTGACATTAATGGGCTGTTTACCCAGTGTCCCAGATGGCTTAAACAGGAGTCAGAAAACATGTTTCTGTAAAGGGACAGATAATAAACAGTCAGTTCCTGTTATTCTGAGTAGCTGATCTCTATTAAGTCCCCATGAACACTGAGTTAGCAAATAGTGAGCCATTGGTCCTAGGGGAGATACAGGCTTAGCTTCTCGCAAGCCTCTGGTCACAACATTATCAGCTGAGGAATACAGAATCTGGTTTTAAGTGTGTTTCTGTTTACACTCACCTCATTTAATGTATATTGTTGACTCACTAATGCTGAACTCACACATTGTTGACACATTGATGCTGAACAGCCAGCAGCACTGTCACTCATGCCTGAGCCAATCTTACCTGACATACGTAAAGCACGTGGGAACCTCTCGTGCACTTCAACTCTGTGAAATCACCAGCTAACAGCATAAAACCGCAAAAAAATAAAAATAAAAGTTACTAAATAGACCACAAAAATGACACTTGTTTACAGCTGAAACAGGAAAGCAGAGCATCACTTTTGCAGCCTCAGCTGGTAAAGTGTCAGCAAAGCAACTCAAATTTTTCACCTCCCTGTGCATGTGCGTGTATTCCTATGAAAGTCCCATGAGTGCCGATTTTGAGGCTTCAGATAAATTTTAGCCAGTAGGCAAATTTGAAAATGTGGAATCTGCACATAATGAAGATCGTGACTATGTTGTAGACTTTGCGAGATAAGAGGAAAATGAAAGCTATCACATAGGTACTTATGTAACAGGAGAGAAAATACGGTTCCACAATTTTTTTTTAGAGATATTTAAAATATGATACTAGCGGGCCAGCAGGTGGTGTGGTGGTTAAGGTCGCTGGATTCCCACATGGCCAACCACAGTTTGAGTCCCGGACTTGGCGGCTTGCTTTCTCTCTCTCTCTCTCTATCTCTCTGTCTCTCCCTGGTCAAATTAAAATAAATAAATACGGGTAAATAAAATAATTCTTAAAAAAATGATAATAGCAGTTGAATGCAATACTTTGTTATATAGGTTTACTAATGATAAGAAAGGAATTCCATTTTGTTGGTTAACATTTTGATTATTTAGGCTTTACATTGCCTATTTGATCGCAAATGTTCACTCCAAAGCTACTCTGAGCATACAGACCAATCAGAAACAGTTCATGATTTGCCTATCCCCTCACTTAAAACGTTTATGAAACAACCAGCCCCATGGTCTGGTGGTTAAGGCAGCTGAATCCCACATGTCTAACTGCATGGTTCAAGCCCAGGACCTAGTGGCTTGAGAAACATGCCAGACATGTGTGTATACATGCCCAAAATCCTAAAAGAAGGGAGAGATGGAGAAGGGATTATGGTATGACAATTATTCATAGGGTGTGCTTTCTCCTCTCCCTCTCTCTGGCAAGTGCACTCACGCTTTTGCAAAAATAAATAAATAAAATTTAAAAATGTATGCAACCAGCTTAGAAATTCAAACCTCAGCCCTTGATTTGGTTGTTCCTAGGCCTTCAATGGAGAAGAAGATGGGCGTTAAAAGGCAGAAAAAAATGAGCAGTGCACTCCTGAATCTGTCTCGGAGCGTCCAGGAACTCACTGAAGAGAATCAGAGCTTGAAGGAAGACCTGGACCGCATGCTGAGCAACTCCCCCACCATCTCCAAAATAAAGGGTACCTTCCCACTTGAGAAGGGAGACATGGGAGAGAGGTCATGTCTCTTGTTTTATGAGGGAGACACAGGGAGGTGGCCCTAGGCAAGTCCTGGCCCCACACTTTGTCAGCAGCCCTTTCCCCGTTCAGCCATAAAGGCCTTATTCCATGTGCCACAAATGCAGACATACACTCTTAGGCCACATTTATCCCAAAGTGTAACCTACTGTGTGCTGCATGGTGTTCTAGGCCCTAGAGAAAGAGTAGTAAAGAAAGGAGACAGACAACCCATACAGTGGAGAGAGGAGCAGTATCCGCAGGTTAGATAAGGGGCAGATGGTGGTCAGTGCTCTGGAGAAAAATACAGCAGGGGAGGGCTGGTATGCACTGCAAATAAGATCTTCAGAAGACACCACTGAGTCAGGGAGGCTAAGTGGAATGAAAGAGGGAAAGGCCAGCTGTGCATACAGCTGCAATGGGAGTGCGGGGGCTCCAGGTGGGAGCTGTAAGTACAGAGGCCCTGAGGACCCAGCCTGTAGAAGGACCCGAGCAGAGGAGGAGTAGGGCAGCGTGGGTAGCTCTGGAGAACTGTTGGCAGTGAAGGCATGGAGCACAACACCCAAGGGCCCTAGGCGGGGTGGCACACCCAGGGAGGGTTGAGCGGGGGACTGAGGAGTCTTCCCTGACTTCCATGTAGGGGTGGACTGTGCAGAAAAGGGGGCACTGGCAGGCAGGAAACTCTCCTAGTGAGGGATGCTGGTGAGGGTGTGTCATGAAGGTGGAGCTAACGGGAAGTGCAGAGTTGGGTATAGCCTACCGGGGAGAGAGAGAGAGATCTGTGAAGGAGAAGCCATCAACTGCACCTGAGGGTAGCCCAGGTTGATGGGTGCCCATCAGGATGGTCTTTTAGAAAACCCATTGCTTCCATTAGGTTACATGGATTGGAGTAAGCCCAGGTTGTTGAGACGTATTGCAGAGCTGGAAAAGGTGAGTGGGACATCTGAGCGTCACCCAGGACACACCCATGGCTCGGGATCAACGACTGTCTCCTACAGTGGGGACACAGGCTTGTGGGGTGAGAGAGGTAGCACCAAACGTGTAAACTGTGGCTGCGTCTTTCATGTCCCTCCTAGTGCAGAGAGCAAAGCCATGGTCATGTGACACACATTTCTGCACTTCCACGTGTAGCCACAGGTGGGCACGTGTGATCCTTGAGCCAGCAGCATGCAGCCTGGCACACACATCACGCTCCTCACTGCCCATCACTTATCAGGCTGTTCTCTTCAACACTTGTGTAACATCTGAATTTGCAGTAAACTGTTCACCTATGCTTTGCCAACCAGAAAACTTTGGAAATTAACATTTATTCTACCCCCCTGGTGAATTTGCAAAGTAGGAATCAATTTGGTTCTACTGGAATTGATCAAAAATGTCAACAATGCCTTTATATTTTAAATATTAAGGTAGAGCAGTCCCTAATGTTTGGCTAAGCAGGAAAAACGGCTTTAAACAATAATTTTAGGTCTTTGCAAAGCAGACAAGTTCAGAAGTTTTTATAGTTGTGGATATTTCTTAAATACAGCTTTTAGGAAATAAATCCAGAGAGCTTTCAGAAGTACAATGGGAGTACTCGCACAGGCTGAGAGAGAATGTGAGAGACTTGGGAAAATTGGAGGTGCTCACTGTCACTTTGCCGGCAAAACTGGAATATAATTAAGGCTCGAAAGCATAAAGATTGAAAATTTCAGAAATTGTAGAGAAATCATAGGATAAATGAGCATGAGAAAAGTTGTTTCTGACCCTCCTCCCCTACCCCCGTGCCCTTCTGCTTTGCCCCTGCTGAGGCTGGAGTCCATGCTCTCCCTGCTTTGACTTAAGAGAACTGTGCTGGGCAGTGTGCTTTTCCGGTAGAACTGTGCCCAGTGAATGCCTCCTTGGTAACCGAGGTCACCCTGCAAAGCTTTCCCATACCCCTGCCGGAAGCTAGTTCCCCCTTGGTTCATCGTCTTTTCCCTGGATATCATCAATGAAAACAAGAAATAACATCTAACCAATGCCTGTGTTGCCTCCAGAAAGTAAGTTCGATGGAAAGCTCAAAACCACATGCCTCAGACGTGGTCAAATCCAATCCTCTGGTTCATTCCACATCCAACTCCACGGTGCACAAGCAGCCACATTCGGACCACCAGGAGGACAATGAGCGTCTCCGAGGGGCAGTGAGAAACCTGAAGGAGGAGCGGAGCGCCCTGCAGAATCAGCTGCAGGAGAAAGAGTAGGTTCTCTGGGAGGAAGTTCTCACTCCCTGTGCGCAGGGGTGGTTTCCAGGGTTACACTGCTAGAATCTGGGGAACTTGGAGAAATACTCAGCATGTTGGAGTTATTGCATAAATAATTTTATTGATTCTGAAACTTAATTTTTTAATTGTATTTATTATTATTATTATTAATTTGTCATTGGACACATATGCTTACCAGAGACACATGCAAACACACACATACACTCAGAGAAGGAAAGTGAGACAGCAAATCAGCAGGTCTGGGACCTCAACTGCAGTCGTCCACATGGGAGTCCAGCACCTTAACCAAGGCAGCTTTAGTGGTTAAAAGGACTATAATTGAGCATCTTAACATCATTAAAAGTGTGCCATTTAAATCATTACACTGAATTCTGGAAGGATTTCCAAATTGTTTTCATTGCTTAGAATTCGTGGAGAGTGATGTTAAAGTTCAGTGATGTATATCGCACATGATGTATATAAAATAAGACATAAATGCTGTAAAATGTTCAGTGTGACTCCAAGAGCTGGCAAGACAAAGCCTCACTTTGTGTGTTCTGTAGCTGAATAATCTGCAGCCAGCCTGGTCTCATCTCCCTGCCACCTGCTCATGGCTTTTCTAGTCAGAGCTCTGTCTTGAGAAAGCCAACCTTGGGCATCTCTGAGATGGTGTTATCTCTCTACTTTGCACGAACTGCAGTGGCCTTGCTACAAGGAGTGGTCTGTGAAGTAGTGAGTAGTTCTTTGGGAGCAGGACCTGAGCTCTCCCTCCCCCCACTCATCTGGGAGCTGGTCAGAAACTTAGGATCTCAGGCCCCAACCCCTGGGGAAGGTAGTTGAGAACGTAGGCCCTCAGGCCCCACCCTCGGTCTTCTGCATCCTACTCTACTTCTTACGGATCCCCAGATAATGTGGGTGTACACTGGAGTCTGAGGAGACCTCTGCTGGTTGCCTGTAAAGTTCTTTGCCACCTGCTGTTTCCCATAAAAAGTCAATCCCTTCATTCTCCACTGTCTTTAACCTCCAGTTAAAGTTTCACAGTGCATTTATGTGAATTGACAGGTTCTTTGTAAAAATTAGTATTTTGTGAAAAGATTTTAAAATTAAGCTAGTCATTATGAGAAGTAAATAACTTCCGGGATTGTCTATTAAGCTATCAAGTGACATGATAGCTGCCATTTACTGAGCTCTTGCTATATCGCAGGCACAATGCTAAACGCTCAGGAGTCTTATCTTGTTTAACATGGAGATTGATGGGGACCCTGGAAAGTCAGGTCACGCAGACAGTGAGCAATGGATCTGAGGTACAGGCAGAGTCTCCTTCTAAAGCCAAGTTTATGGCCATCATGATACACACAGGACACAACAAAACCCATATAGGAATAGTTTGGCTGGAGTACCCTGGGTAGCCTTTCTTGGCCTCAGGCCAGCGCAGGCAGCATCAGTCTGGTTGAGGGCTCAAACTATATACCCTTGGTTTAACACACTTGTGGCAGATGTACTGAATGTGCTGAATTATTTGACAGTTGCATTGATGCCTCTCCCATTAGCCTGGGAGACCCCAGGTGGCTCATCACGTTTCACTCCTATTGACCCCAGGACCTGACAGCTCTACATGCAAGAGGGCTCAGTGACAAAGAGTTGGGCCCTTGGGTCTGCTTCTTCTTTTTTCTTTTTTAGTTTTGTTCTAGGGTGTGTGTACTTGCTAGAAAAAGAGGGAAAGCGAGAAGTTACCCCCCCTCCCCACCCCAGGCAAGTTGGCCACACAACAATCTCTTCTCCATTCTCCATCTGGGATTTTGGGCATACATGCACATGCGCCTGGCATGTTTTTTAAGCCACCAGGTTCAGGACTCAAACCACAAAGTCAGCCATGTTGTATCCAGCCTTCCTTAACTTCCATGCCACCTGCTGGCCCCCCTTGAGTCTGCCCTTGGCTCTTGAAAAATTGGAAAAATGGGCTTTTCTTAGACCCCGTAGTTGAGGAAGTCAGATCCCACATAGCCAACAACACAGTTTGAATCTCAGCCCTGGCAACTGGAAAAATACACTGGGCATGTGTGTGTGCATGCATGACCAAAATTCTGAGAAAATATAGAAATAGAGAAGGGACTGCAATGTGACCATGCCCCCTTGGGAGGTGTTTTCTCCCTTTTCCTCTCTCCCTGTTTCTGGCAAGCACATACCCTTTGGCAAAATTTAAGAAATTAAAAAATTAAAAGAAAGAGGGACCAGCAGTTAGCATAATGGCTATGTCACTGAACTCCTATGTAGTCAACCACGGTTCGAGTCCCAGACCTAGTGACTTAAACTCACGCCAGGTGTGTGCGTGTGCATGCCCAAGATCCCAAGAGGAGAAAGGAGGAGGAGGGATTGCGGTGTGGCCTTCCTTCCTGGGGGGTGATTTCTCACTTTCTGTCTCTCTGTCTCTCTCTGTCTTTCTGGCGAGTGCATATGCCCTATAGCAAAAAACAAAAAAAAAAACTCTCAAAGAAAGAAGGGCCCTTCTTGATATTTCTGCCTCATGGTTTACTCTTCTAAGGAAGTTGAATGCTGTTTATTTTTCTTCAGAAGTATCTTCCTGCTCTGTAATGATCTTCCATTTTAATGCTGGAATATGTGGTTCTGTGTTTCAGTTTGGAAATGAAGCAGCTGCTGCAGACAAAGGCTGACTTGGAGAAGGAGCTGGAAAATGTAAAGAAAAGTGAGAAGGAGAGAAGAGAACAGGAGATAGCTCTGAAGTAAGTGAATTGAGTTTGTTTGTTTGTTAGAGCTTTGCCATAGGGCATGTGTGTACTCTCTAGAGAGAGAAAGTGAAAGGGAAAACAAGAAATCAACCCCCAGGACAGAGGGCCGTGCCACAATCCCTTCTCTTCCATTCTCCTTCTGGGATTTTCTTTTCTATTCCAAGGTTTTTTTGTCATAGGGTACATGCACTCACCGAAGAGAAACAGAGAGACAGTGAGAGGGAAAGTGAGAAATCACCCGCCCGGGTGGGTGAGTGGCCACACCACAATCTCTTCTCCTCTAATTTCCTCCTGGGAATCTGGTCACTCATGCACATGCGCCTGGCATGATTTTTAAGCCTCTGGGTCTGGAACTTGAACTGCTGTCGGCCATGTGGGAATCCAGCACTGTAACCATTATGCCACCTGCTGGTCCCTAGCAAGGTTTTCAAGCCACCAAGTCTGGGACTAAAACCACATTCAGCCATGTGAGAGTTAAGCACCTTAACTACCACATCACCTACTGGCCTCATAAACCGATTTAAAGAGAGTCCAGAGGATTCCAAACTCTTCTTGCTTCTGAATGCTACCGTTCTCCCATCAGTTCTCAACACAGCTTCAAGAGTGGTGTTTATAAAGGTCATTCTTCTTCCTAAAATCTTTCAGCGATTTTATTACCTTTGGACTAAAAACTCAAAACTCTGGGGAAAAACTGTCCCTGGTTAGCCCAGTGTTTGCCTCTTTGACATTCTAGTTATCTCCCCTCCATCATCCTCCACTCCAGTTATGCCCACCATTGGCAGTTTCTGAACATGCCATAATTCCATGCCTCTGTGCTTGTCTTTGCTCAAAGGACTCAGGTGTCAGCCAGCTCCTCAGAAAGGGCACTTCCTATGTGCCTACATAATAGCATTGTTCACAAGAACAGAAAGTGGAATGACCCAATGTCCATCAGCTGCGAAACAAACCGAGGTCTAGCCATAGAAGGGATGAAAAAGGAAGGAAACACTGGCCCACACTACACCATAGATGAACTTCACACAGAGGAAAAAGCCAGACACGAGATTACATGTTGCATGAATCTATTGATTTGAAATGTCTAGAACAGGCAAATCCACAGGGACAGAAAGCAAATGAGGCTGAGAAAGGGGAATTGGGATAACTACTCATAGGTATGGGGTTTCTTTCTGGGGTGATGGAAATGTTCTGGAATTAGACTATGGTGATGGTTATACAATATTGTAAATATTCCAAAAACCTCTGAATTAAACACTTTAAAATAGTACATTTTTATGTTATAAATTTTATCTCAGTTTTCTTAACTGCAAAAAAGAATTAGTTAGAAATCTGAAGAGAAATATTTAGCACTCAGAATAAGGCATAGATTACTGGAATGAATAAAACATTTTCAAGAGAAACATGACTAAATTTTGCAGGAGGATAGGATTAAAGTAATTCAGAAAGAGTAAGTTATGCAGGAATGAATTGTTTTTGCTTTGCCTTTGATATATGTAGTAACGACATATTTTGTAATTCCTTTTATCACATTGTTGTTTATTAAAAACCCCAAACAGGGCCAGCCAATGATATGGTGGTTAAGGGACTTGATCTCACATGGACTACTACACAGTTCAAGTCCCAGATCAGACGACTTGTAAAACACACCAGGTGTATGTGTGTGCATGCCCAAAGTCCCAAAGGGAGAAATGGAGAAGGGTTTGTGGCATGATCATCCCCCATGGGGAGCACCTTCTCTCTTTCTCTCTCTCCCTCTTTCTTTCCAGTGAATGCACACACCCTCTAGCAAAATTTAAAAAGAAAACAAAACCGAAACAATATGTACCTATTCATCATTCATGCAATATTTTTTTGAGTTCTTAGGAAGTTTCAGGAATGGTGAAGACTGGGGGAGGGGAGATGCAGTGGCGAGCACTGTCTTGCACTGGGATCCCTATGCAGTCAGGCCATAGCTGAGGACCCCAATGGCTCAAGGAGGCTGTTTCTCAGTATGGACACCATTCACACAATGACAAGTCAGGTATCATCTGTTTTCTTTTCACCTTAGAGAAGAAATAAAAACACTTACTAGGAAGTTTCAAGAACTGGAAGAAATTAAGAAAGAAGAAAAAGATGATCCTATGGAAATTACTGATGAGGTATGGTATATCTGTCTTTTGTTTAACATCCTATATAGGCCTGATGGGACTGTCAGCTGATATACAAAGGTTCTGATTATTTTCATACTTAGAGTTTTTTCTTGATTACAAGATAATCAAATTTCCCCTTATCATAATTGATTTCGCCTTTTCTTTTTTTTTTTTAAGAGATTTTTGCTATAGGGTGCATGCATTTGCCAGAAAGACAGAGAGAGACAGAAAGCGAGAAATCACCTCCCAGTGGGGATGGCCATGCCACAATCCCTTCTCCTCTCAGGATCTTGGGCATGCATGCACATGCGCCCAGGGTGAATTTAAGCCACTGGGTCCAGGCCATTGCACTAACTGCTGGTCCCTTATAATTAATTTCTATAACTTAAACCATATGTCTAGAAGTCTGGAGTTCCAATTGCCAGAGAAATGACTTCTTGATATAGAACTGGAGTCTTACATAGTTAAGCTGGTAAGTGAAAATCTTCCAGCAACCTCAAGTAAGCAGAAAGCTTAGTTTTCTGCAGGTGGTTGTCTACTGAGGAGGTGAAGAGGTTTGAGAGGGCCTGGTGGGGGAGGAAGGAATACTTAAAAGAGACCCCACCGGATCCTGTGCCGACCTGACTGTACGTTTATCCTTTAATGTGTGTTCCAGAAGGTGACAATGACTAAGGCTTCAGAGGGTCCATGTTTTCTGAGCCCTCCACCTGTCACTGAGTTCCATGCATGCTTAGCATTGGGTGACCATTTGGTGAGGACTTGCAGGCAGGTGAGAGCAACTCTGGACACATGCCTTAGCTGTCCCCTCTACTCCCACCATTCATGTGGACATCCCAGTGAGGCAGCTGTGGCTGAGGTGGAGTCTTTGTGGCTCTGAGGATCCCCTGTCTCCTCTCTGGAGAGACAAACACAGCCACCTCTGGTCCCTGTTGGCCTAGTACTACCTGCACTTGGACTTCTGGTGACTAGAAAGCACCTCTCCACTGAGCCTTTTTTACAGTGAATATCCGGGTTCTCCAGATGGCAGGTGTGATATGATATCTGTTCAGAAAGACCAAGGTGTTCAAATCCTGCAGCTGCAAGAGGAGCATGTCATGTAAACGTATGTCAGCTAAGGCCATTTTTATCTACCTTGGGACAAGTCCAGATGAGCACATGTTAGAGATGGGCGAAAATCTTATTCCATTAGCCTCCACGCAGTCCCGGTTGCTACAGATCTGAGAATCCACTAGGATGCCAGGTCCTTACCCGGCAATGCACTGCAGCCATGAAGTTCCATCAGAAAATGACTTCCTGTTTTAGTAGCAGTTAGTCTGACAGAGATTGTCATTGGCCTCCAGGAGAATGGGACTTAGCAAGGGTGCAGGATAGAGTTTATCTGCAGATAATTGAAAATAAAAATGTGGTTTTTCATTGTTTTGATTTGTTTTAGAGACGTTTTTATTTTTATTTATTTATTTATTTATTTATTTATTTATTTTCCTATAGGGCGTGTACACTCACCAGATAGAGACAGAGAGACAGAAAGCGAGAAATCACTCCCCCAGGGGGGATGGCCATGCCACAATCCCTTCTCCTCCATTGTCCTCTCAGAATCTTGGGCATGCACACGCACGTGCATGCGCCCGGCGTGAGTTTTAAGCCACCGGGTCCGGGACGCAAACTGCGGTTGACTATGTGGGAGTCCAACGACATAGCCATTACGCTAACTGCTGGTCCCTTTGATATGTTTTAAATCTATGGCCTTTGTCTTCCAAGGCTGGTTTACTTAGCTGGACTCGTAATTTTTAAAAAATAATTATTTTATTTGATTTATTTATTTATTTATTTATTCATTCATTTTAATTTGACCAGAGTGAGGGGTGGGGGGAGTGAGAAAGCAAGTTGCCAGATCTGGGACTTTAACCGTGATTGGCCATGTGGGGGTCCAGCACCCTTAACCACCACACCATCTGCCAGCCCCTGGATTCTTAATTTTTCAGCCTTCTTCTAGCATGAGACAATGTCTGCTTCAACTTTATCACAAGAAAAAGAAACTAAAAGGGAATTTGGAAAAGCCAATTGACACATTTTTATTTTATTAACAAATTGAGACAGAATGTAGCACTGCCGATCTGGCAAAAACAGACAGTACCCCATGGGTGTCAGGTGTGAGCTCACTGGGTCCCCAGTAGGTTGTTAGGTGAGCTGGATTCTGGCATGCTCTGCAGATGAGTGTGAGGGTTGAACAACCTGAGTCTGTCTCGATCACTTCTGAAAAAATACATATATTTTTTTACAGAGATTTTTGCTATAAGGTGCGTGTGCTCACCAGAGAGACAGAAAGACAGAAATCGACCCCCTCCCCGCCCTGAGATGGCCACACTGCATTCCTCCGTTCTCGTCTTGGGATCTTGGGCATGCATGCATATGCGTCTGGCGTGAGTTTGACGCTGCCAGGTCAAGGATGTGATCTGTCGGCCATGTGGGAGTCCAGCGACATAAACATTATGCCATCTGCTGGTCCCTGAAAAATGTCCTTTTTAATTATTTTATATAACTTTATTTATTTATTTATTTATTTTAATTTGTCTAGAGAGGGACAAAGTGTAAGAGAGAGGGGAAGTGAGAAAGTAAGCTGCTAGGTCCAGGACTTGAACCACATTCGACCATGTGAGATTCCAGCACCCTTAACCACCACAACACCTGCCAGCCCCTGTAAACTATTTTTTACTGCTCAGTAAAGTGCACGTTTTGTGCTTCCTCCTTTGGGCATGTTTCTTGGGTAGTTTTTCAAGCACTTTGGATAATATTCTAACTGATATGGAATATTTGTCCCAGTGTCCAGGGAATTCGCCACTCTATGTGCCTATTACTTTTCATAAGACCGTGTGCTTTCCTGGCTGTCTACACTGCCTGACTAGGTGGCTATGACCCAGAATCAGAGTCTTCCTGGGGACCTCCTTTTTGTCCCGCTGATGTGCCTGTGGCATCTCCTGTTACAGAGCTCCCCTGAGTGAGCTCCCCAGCTCCACATCATCCTCAAGGGCAATTGTAAAGCTTTTATCAAGTGAGTGCTCATGAGGACAACTGACTGTCCACTGACTTGTGACTTGTTTACTTCTGGTCACCCTGGGCCTGAAAGGTGCTCAGCAGTAAGTAAACACTAGTGCTGCTGTTTGCTTTGTTGTTTTTTTTTTGCCATAAGATACATACGTGCTGGAGAGAGACAGTAAGTGAAAGTGAGAAATCACATCCCAGGGGGATGGCCATGCGATAATCCCTTGTCCATTCTCCTCTTAGGATTTTGGGCATGCATGCACACGGGACCTAGCGTGATTTTGAAGCCACTGGGTCTCGAACTCAAACTGCAGTCCAGCACCTTAACCACTACACCACTTGCTGGACCAATTTCTGCTTAATTTTAAACTTTCCATTCAAAGTCAGATATTCCTTAGAGAGAAAAAATATTTCTCATATACAATAGATTTGAAAAGAATGGCTTTGTGTATGGGGTTTATCTATTGGATTGTCAGAAAAGGCATGATGCATTTTTGCATTGAAAAACATGTCATGACTTTTCTGATGACCTAATAGTTGTTGAAGATTCCTCTGTCTCTCTTTAGTCTGCCCAGGTATGCTGTAGATCCTCAAAATGAAAGAAAAAGTGTGTCCTTTTGTGTCACCGACATGTTGATTTGAAGACAGAAAAGATTATCTTAGTTCACATTTCTGCCCTGTGCATGAATTGGACACAAATCAGATCAGCAAAGATGATTTTTGTCCCTCCCAACTCTCACGTGTTGACCCCTCGGAAGAGTCTGGCACTGGCACTGGGCGTTGGCCTGGGTCTGGGCTTTGAGCAGTTTTGTGCCTCTCTTACCATGTAAGGGTTTTCTGCAACAATTTAGATCTCCACTGAGCTTGCATGTTTGATGTGAGAAAAACTATACAATGTTATTATTTTTATTGAGAATGAGCTCAAAAGCTTTCTTAGAGGATCTTTACAGGGTATGCTGCCTTTTCTGTGTTAATTTCAGTCATTTAGGATGTAAATCCTCCACTAATTCAATTCAAGGCATAGTTGCCATGTTGATCGAGACTCCTGGTAAGCTATTTTCCTGTAAGAATTACATCCATAATTAGTTACTTCCTTTCTCCCAATCGAGGCTTTAGGAGATTTTGTTTGGTATCAAAATCATGCTCAATACTTTTCGTTTTGGCATTTTATTATATAAGCTTAAGATTTTGTGTTCCTACACACGATCAGAGCACATCAAGGATTCCAGAGTTCCCGCTGTTCTCTCAAGGAGTAGGGCCAAAGAAAGTAATCCAGTCTCTTCAAAGCAGTCAGTGCACAGGTGCTCCCTGCAGTCTCATTCACAGTGGTGACAGCAGCAGCAGGAGAAGAGCCCTGGAGTGGGATCCCTACCGCGAGCTGGTGCACCCACTCTGCAGAATAGTATGCAGCCATCTTCAAGGCTGGAAGGGATCTTCGTGTACTGACATGGAGAGATGCCTGTGGAGGGATGCCTCTGACCCCATTGGTTGATGGAAATAATCCACTCCCACCACCAAAATAAAAACTACATGGGAACCAGCAGTTAGCATAATGGCTATGTCGCTGGACTCCCATGTAGTCGACCACGGTTCGCGTCCCAGACCCGGTGGCTTAAAACTCACGCCGGGCATGTGTGCGTGCGTGCCTAAGATCCCAAGAGGAGAATGGAGGAGAAGGGATTACAGTGTGACCATCCCCCCTGGGGGGTGACTTCTCACTTTCTGTCTCTACGTCTCTGTCTGTCTGGCAAGCGCATGAGCCCTATAGCAAAAACCTCTCCAAAAAAAAAAAAAAAGCCTACATGACATTTATCCCTTTTTATTAAGAATATTATACTTGGAAAAATGTCTGGAAGCGCTGCCAAAATATAGCTCCTTCTCTGTGGTGGGATTACAAGCACATTTTTACTTTCTTTTAGAATTGTCTGAGTTTTTAATTGTGCGCTTGTATTCTCTTTGTTTCTTCTGCTTAAAAAACATTTCCATTTTAAAGAAACAGAAGAGTGGTATTAATTGGGAGTATTCAGTGTTCTTCTAAATAAAATCACCGCTCAGCATTCGTAGTGGAATGATTAATTGTAGGTTTAAGTGGAGCGATGAGAGTCAGCTTTCTTAACAGTTGCCCTGAGGAATTCATATGCATATCAAAATTTAGGGTTTTTTTTTTTTTTTCCTGTCTGCCAAGAGTTGAGTAAATTTTTCTTTATCTTCTAAGTAACTGATTTTACCTTTTGATCACATTGGCAGGGGCCACACATTAATGAATTCTTATCTCATTCTAATGGAAGAAAGGTCCAAAAATGTGTTAGGTTTGAAAGAAGAATCTGAGGCTTTTAGGCAAACAAAATCAGAATGTGGAAGCTAAGTGTCAGGAATGTGGGCACAAAGTACGTGGTGAGCATGCCTAGGAGCTCTAGTGGCAGCTGTGTCAGAGTGTTCTGGGCTCTGTCTCATTCTGGGACGGCAAGACATTCAGACCCAAAAACGACTGTCCTGACGGAGAAAGAACTTTATGCTCACAGATCTCTAGAAACAGTGGGCAAGGCATGTCACTCAGGGCCACAGGGTCAGTCAGGAGGCGGCAGGGGCAAAGGAACATGGCCAGGGCCTTTACTGTGGGAGGGGATGGGAGAGGCAGAGTGAGCAGCTGAGCAGGGTATAGATTGGATGGTCTGAACAATTTTGATTGAATCAAGACCATGGTGGTGGTGAGGGGGGTCCTCTAGTCTGGCCCTGGCTCTGGCTCTGGGTGATTTAAGGCATGAGGAATATTGGCTTGATGTATGAGTTCTCTAAAGGAGGTGGTTTGGGGGTGTGGGTATCGGATTGGTTGTGTACGAAAGTCATCTTTGCCGACAATTCGTTTACTTTCTAGGAATGGTCAGCCTGGAAGGGGCCATGTCTCCCACATCAGCAAGGCCCCAGTATGTCAAAGTATCATAAATGCAGAAGTGGAAAAAAGCCCAGTTGATCCACTGGCCAATGCATTCTGAGTGCATTGTTCAGGGCAATGGTGAGACCCTGGCACTGGGCATTGGCCTAGGCCTGGGCGTTGAGCAGTTTTGTGCCTCTCTTACCATGTCAAGATTTTCTGCAACAATTTAGATCTCTACTGAGCTTGCATTTTTTATATGAGAAAAAACTGTACAATGGTATTATTTTTATTGAGAAGCGTCCTTGTGGGTAATAAATTTGGACCCATGAGTGGCAAAAGTCAGTGTTATATTGATGGTCACCATTACAATTTCTGCTTCTTTTTACCTTCAGAACCAAGCCAAAATATACTGTCTTTAATCTCAGAAAGCCTATTTTTGTAGTATAATATTAAACTTTAAAAAGATGGAAAAAAAAAAGAACCACAGAAAACCAAACATTTCTTACACTGACACAACAAGCTGTGTTTAGAAAGTGTGTTACCACTGTGAATAAGCACCTTGCAGGCCCCGTGGGTGATGTCATCCTCTCTTCCTCCCAGGAGATTGCTGCCAGGCGGAGAGTTTCGGGAGTTTAATGAAAAACTAACACATGCATTGTTTCTTCAGAGATTTTTGTCATTTAGCGTGGCGAACAGAGTAGCTACAGATTTTTCCTCTAATCAGTATGTCTCTCTGATAAGTGTGGCCTGCTACTGTGCCAAGTAATATCCTGTCCCCTCACCTGATACTGATCTTCCCTGCCCCGGCTGCATCATCCTTTTACACTTCAATTTCCTGCAGACCCAAGAAGAACTCCTTCCATCCCCTCCCAGCAGCAGGCACTCTCTGCAAGATTCTGAGCCAGATTCAAGTGACGAAGACTTCTCTCGGCCCCCCTCTCCCTGCCCTGATGGGAGAAGAGATGCAGCTGCCAGGATCCTGCAGGCCTGGTGGAAGGTATACAAACACAAGGTGAGATTTCCCAAGAAGACCCAGGGCATATACTATGAATTGTTTTTTTTAACTGCAGAAACCATTGTGTTTTTCATATATTCATTCAATCAACATTTGCCATTCGTGTGCTGGGCTCCATTCTAGGTACTGTAGCCTCATGGGAAATTTTGGAAAGACAATGTACGTGTCTGAAAATGATGCTCTGATCATTGCTGGTGGAGGGAGGGAGAGAGACCAGTAACACAGAGGAGAGGATGCTGGAATGTGCTGGAAAAGAGTGGGAAGGCCCTGTGGCTCAGGGGAGGGTTACCTTTCAGCTAGTCCTTGAAGGAGGAGCAGGATTCCATTTTCGCCACATGGAAACAAGGCAAAGTCCTGTCCCAGAAATCCTCATTAACTCCCTTGATCTGCCATGCCCGTTGGCAGGGTGGCTCAAGAAGCCAGGCAAGGCCTACGGACTGACTCGAGACAACCCCGACCCATACTCAAAAGACCCACTCGTCAGCAATGTGCGTAGTTCTGACTACACATTTTGGAGTACTTAGGTTACTTGCCAAAAACAACTGAGACATTTAAATCACCCACAACCAGCAGCTTTTCCAGGGCTCTGTGGGAGGAAGCCGTGAGGGAAATGTCCTTCTTCTTCTTCTTCTTCTTCTTCTTTTTTTAATAATTATTTATTTAATTTTATTCTTTCATTTATTTTAATTTGACCAGAGAGAGAGACAGAGAAAGTGAGAAATATGTCCACCTTCTCATTAGGGCTGTGAAAAACCTGCCTTGACAGGCTGCTCCTCGCTGTATACCGACTGTAGATAAGGGGGCAGGAGGATTCCCCATCTGGGCTACGCACGTGGAGCCAGGCTTGGGAGAGGAGCTGCAGGTCTGCACTGAGTTCCTTTGTGCTTGGGGCACTGGGGTGAAGTGCGATCTTGGAGAATGGGGCTCCTCTCCTAAGCTCCTGGCGTGGCTCTGTGGGGTTATGTGCCCCGGAGATGGAGTCATGAAAGGACCGTGGTCTCCTTAGGTTAGCCAGATGTTCTAAAGTTCTACCCAATGTTGGGACCAGCAGTTAGAGTAATGGCTATGTCACTGAACTCCCGTGTAGTCGACCGTGGTTCAAGTCCCGGACCTGGTGGTTTAAACTCACGCCGGGTGTGTGTGCGTGTGTGTCCAAGATCCCAAGAGGAGAAGGGATTGTGGGGTGGCCATCCCCTCTGGGGGGTGATTTCTCACTTTCTGTCTCTCTGTCTCTCTCTTTCTGGCGAGTGCACACACCCTTTAGCAAAAACCTCTCAAAAAAAAAAAAAATCTACCCAATGTTATTTTTAAAAAAAACTTCACGGCCTTGTCTCTTCCCTAAACAAACTGTGGCAGTCTCTACTTGCCTGGATATTACAAGAGCTTATCTCTACAATTTTGCCAGAGGGCACATGCGCTCACCCCTGGAGAGAGACTGAAGGGAGGTCCTGAAAAAACAGCCTACATGGGAGATGGTCACATCATAGTTCCTCCTCTTCCGTTTCTCTCTCCTTTTGGGATTTTGGGCACACATGCACATGTACCCAGTGTGTTTTTCAAGCCAGTGGGACAAGGACTGGAACTGGATTGTCAAGAGACATGAAATCTGGTTGCCATAGCAACCACATCACAGGCTGGCCCACCATTGAAGGATTGTTTTTTGTTGGTTTTTGTTTTTGTTTTTTTAAAAAATATTTACTTAATTTTATTTATTCATTCACTTATTTTAATTTGACCAGAGAGACACAGAGAGAGCGAGAGAGACGGAAAGTGAAAAAGCAAGCCACCATGTCCGGGACTCAAACTGTGGTCGGCCATGTGGGAGTGTCCAGCACCTTAGCCACCATGCCACCCACTGGTCCCTGGTTTTCGTTTTTTAAATTGCTAGAGAGCACATGCACTCACTAGACAGAATCAGAGGGAGAAGGAAAGCGAAAAAGCACTCCCATAGGGGGATGGTCATGCAAAAATCCCTTTTCTTCCATTCTTCCTTTGAGATTTTGGGCACACACACACAGTGTGTTTCTCAGTGTGCTGGGTCTGGTACTCAAACTGACACCTTCACCACCACGCCACTAGATGGCCTAGAGGTTTTCTAATCATTGTTTCCTTCTAGCTTTTATTATGAAAAATTTCAAAACTTACAGAAAAGTTGAGAATTTAATATATTCTACAATATACTCTATTAATTCTTATTGCAACCCTAATTCAACAATAGTTAATGATTAGCCATTTCATGTGTGTGTGTGTGTGTGTGTAGTTTTTTCCAAGACCATTTGAAAATAAGTTTTAGACATTATGAACCATCTGCATGTGTCTTCTGAGAAAAAGAACTTTGTCCTACTTAACCACAATACTATTATTGCAACAAAGTATTTAACAATAATTTCATATCATCTAAAAGCCCTTCATACTCACATTTCTAATGTCGACCAGTCATGGTGGCTAGTAGTAATGCAGCACTCTACGATGCTGAAGCCACATGGGAAGGTTCTGGGTCGGCATCCCATACATGCCCACCATGTGCACTTGTGCCCACGATCTTGACTGGCCGGGGCAGAGGGTGGATTACACACAGCATGAGACCCTGTTGGGGTACCAATCTCCCTCCCTCTTTACATAGCCAGCCTCCCTCCTTTCTCTCTTGTATAGAAGAAACAAACAAATAAATTTAAAAGAAAAAGTATCCAAATATCCTATGATGCCATGTGTAGCTGTGTATTTCAAGCTAGGATCTAGTCACGGTTGGATTGTGATTGACATTCAATGAAAGCCTTTATTTGGTTGTGTTTTCTCCTTTGGGTGGTTCACAATAGTCCCCCTTCTGTTTCTTGTTAAAGACATTTTCTTTTTGAAGAAAGCAGTCTAGTGTCTCATAAAATGTCTTATATCCCAGATCTCACTGTTTCCTCGTTGTGTCATTTGACTTGTTCCTCTGTCCTCTTACTTCCTGTAAATGACAAATTGGGCTTACAGGCTTGATTTGACTAGGTTAAATATTTTTGATGAGATGTCTCCTAGGTGAGGCTGTGTATATAATGTCATCTCAAGATAACAGATGAGATTAGGTAATCTCCTGGTTTTGCATCTACAATAACTTTGATCAATTGCTTAAAATTGAGGCTTCTAGCTTTTACCACTTTAGATTTTTGCTATAGGGCATGTGTACTCACCAGAGAGAAACAGAGAGAGAGAGAAAGTGAGAAGCACCCCCCTCCCCAGAGGAATGGCCACACCACAAGCCCATCCCTTCCATTCTCCTCTTAAGATTTTTGTCATGCATGCACAAGTATCCAGTGTGATGTTCAAGACTCTGGGTCCAAGACTCTAACTGAGCAGTCACCATGTGGGATCTAGTGCCTTAACCACCAGGCCACCTGCTGGCCGCTTTCACCATTTTAAAGAAGCATTTTCCGCTTGGTAATTAACCAATGACTTGTCAAAGGAGAGTGTGACCCTTAGTGAGTGTCCTGTTCCCACCACCTTCCACCTAACACTTTATGACTCCTCACTTCAGTCAGTTATTGTTCAGACAATGGCAAAAAGGTGACCTGTTTTCAAATCCCATCTTTCTACTTGATGGCTGTTCCTCTTCTGAAGCAAGAGTTTTTCTTATTGGCTGGCATAAACTCTAGGCCTCCTAAAAAAGACAGGGTAAACACTTAGTCACTTCCCTTGGAGTGCTAAGTAGACAGATTTCAGAATAATCACCTCCAAGGAAACAGGTTGCACATGTCAGCCATAGTTTGAATCCCCAGCCTGGTCAGCCTGAAGCTTTCTAGGCATGTGTGCAAGTGCCCAAGTTCTGTTCTGGAGACTGGAGAAAGGGGATCACAGCATAACCATGCCATATTTAGAGTGTTTCTCTCTCCTCTTTCTTTCTCTCATGTGTATGCACATGTGCTCTGTCATAAATGAAAAAAAAAAAAGGTAAAACATTAAGCAAGTGTGGGGCCAGCAGATAGCATGATAGTTAAGGTGTCCATTGGAGGGTTGGATTTCCATATGGCAACCATGGTTTGAGTCCCCAACCTGGAGGCTTGAAAATCATGCCAGGTGCATGTGCATGCATGCATGCTCAAATTCCCATGAGGAGAATGGAGAAGGATTGTGGCATGGCCATCTTCCCTCAGAGGTGATTTCTCACTTTGTTTGTGTCTCTGGCAAGAACATGCCCCCGTAACAAAAACCTAAAACACACACACACAACATTGAACAAGTGCCCTGACAGTGTTGTCCTTGATCCCTCCCACTGCTTCTCACCATCAGCTTCTTAGCCCCTCTAGCCCTTCACCTCAGGCTGTCACTTCTCTCTCCCCTGAAGGAGACAAAGTGTAGCTGATGCCTTGCTGCACATGAACTGAAGCTTCTATTTTTATCTTACAATTCCGCATTAAAAGGACTCAAAGCCCAGCCATGGTAGTACATGCTGCTGCATATACGTGGTAGCACATGCTGTAGATGTTGCTGCTCAGCAGTCTGAGACCTTGCAGGGCCCAGGTTCAGTTCCTGGCCCACTCTCAAAGCTAAGCACAATTGGGGTCCGCAGTTAGTGTAATGGCTATGTCACTGGACTCCCACGTAGTCAACTGCGGTTCGAGTCCCGGACCCGGTGGCTTAAAACTCACGCCGGGCACGTGTGCGTGCGTGCCCAAGATCCCAAGAGGAGAAGGGAGGAGAAGGGATTGCAGCGTGACCATCCCCCCTGGGGGGTGATTTCTCGCTTTCTGTCTCTCTGTCTCTCTCTGTCTGTCTGGCGAGCGCACGCACCCTGTAGCAAAAACCTCTCAAAAAAAAAATTTTTTTTAAAAAGCTGAGCACAATGGTATGTGTCTGTAGTCCAACACAAATGAGATAGGGGGCTGAGGCAGGAGGATCGTGACACAGGAAAACCCTGTCTAAAAAGACAGTACACACATACATACTGAGTTCAAATATGTAAAGCTGTAGGGAGATATTTGAGAATAAAGTATTTAAAAGGCCATTTGACTAGAAATCAGGAGGCTTGGACTTAAGGAGTCAGGGCTATCTCACTGTTCTCAGAGTCACAGCAGGCCACCAAGGGCAGCCTGGAGTCCTTAGAGTCCTTGCAGTCTGCTAGTGACACTGCATCTGCTCAAACTGGGAGTGAACCACAACCGCCTGTGTTAGTCAGGCCCAGCACACACTGATTCTGAACATCAGCTTCTGTGTGCGGCGGAACTGCCACGTCCCCATCTCTCTCAAGTCACGTACACTTCTAGTCCCTTACTCTTCTCGTTCTTGATATTTAGAGTTTTTTCATTCTCCGCCTCATCTCAAATTCCGGCCAGCCCGTCCTTATCTGCTGTTTGATACTATCTCTGCCACAGTCTTTATTGTTACTTTTACATGTCCTTATCTGCTGTTTGATGCTATCTCTGCCACAGTCTTTATTGTTACTTTTATTAAACATATTTGTCTGCTTTCTTTTTACATCCAGCTGGTTTTTGTACTCAGTTTTTTGTTTCCCCATTTCTGTTTTCCTTAATTGCCAGAGAGCATGTGCATTCACCAGAGGGAGAGAGAGAGAGAGAGAGAGAACACACTGTGGGGCATGGCCACACTGCAATCCCTTCTCCAGTTCTCCTTCCCATCAGAATTTTGGGCATATTTTTCAAGCTGCCACAGCCGGGATTCAAACCACAGTCGGCTATGTGGGCTCCGGCTCCCTTAACCACAAGGCTTCAGGGCCAACCTTTTTTCTTAATCTCAAATCCTTTTACTGTGACCAATGTGGACCATGCACTCTGACTAATATTGACAAGCAGCTGGCTAATGTATGTGTCATCTAGTTGTGGTCATTAAATGCACATTTGTAATCTCAGCGGTTGCATATTGGAAGGATTTACATTTCATTCACATAATCCTAGGTTTCACCTCTAATGACTGTGATTCAGCATATCTCAGCTGCAGCCTAAGAAACCATTTTCTTAAGTCTCGGTGATTTTGATGGCCAGTGATCCAGACCCCTGAATGGGAATCCTCTTTGTAACATCACCAGCAGGCAGTGTCCTAGAGAACACCCCGGTCAGGATGGCTCTGGTTGTGAGAAGGACTTTCTCACACTGAGCCTGGGTCATGCTCCTTAGCTGCGCAGGTTGGGCCACTAGAGTCCCTTCTGAGTGGGGATGGCAGCATGGCTGATGGGAACCCAGCCACACAGACACGCCCTCCACTTTTCACTCAGGGCACCTCCTGCCATTCTCCCTAAGGAATCTCATCCTACTGATCATGTGTTCTTGCTCACATCGTCATTAGAACTCAGTCTGTTCCCTCAGCACTGCAGCTAGGATGAGGGGGGTCAACCTAGGGAATGCGGAGCTTGCAGCCGTCTTAACGGTAGACACAGAACTCAGCAGCACAGTCTCGCTGTTGGATCCGTCGTGTCCTGACTGTGATTTCCCATCTCCTGTTGACATAAGGCCGGGACAAGATCAAGAAAGAAAGCTGTACAGTGATAAGTTCATTCTCTTCTTGCTAATTCACACTTTACTTTTTTTTTTTTAAATTTCAGAAAGAACAGGCTGTTCTGGATGAGGTAAGTAAAGTTTATTTTACCAATTTCAAAATATAGATGGTCATCGACTTATGATGGGGTTACATCCCAATTATCCCATCATAAGTTAAAAATATCATAAAGGTAAATGCATAGGACCAGCAGGTGGCATGGTGGTTAAGGGCGCTGGACTCCCACATGGCCGTCCTCAGTTCGAGTCCTGGACCTGGTGGCTTGTGTTCTCTCCCCCCAACCCCGGTCAAATATAAATAAATAAAGTTAAATAAAATAATTCTTTCCCAAAAAAAATAAAGGAAAATGAATGTAATACACCTAAACTACCAAACAGCATAGCTTAGACTAACCTAGTTTAAATGTGCTCAAGACACTTATGTTAGCCTACTGCTGAACAGAGTCACGTTAACACAAGGCCTATTTTACAGTAAAGTGTTGACTCTTGTAGTTTAATGAACACTGCACTGGAAGTGGGAAACAGAATGGGTGTGTGGGTACTCGAAGTACAGTGTTTATTGACTGCATTTTGCGTTCGCACCATTGCAGGTCAGGGGCTATCTGTACATTATTTTTGCTTTGGAGTAAAGAACTGAGGAGACATTTAAAGATGCATCAAGTCTTCATCTTTATGAAACCAAACCAGACTCCAACATTAAGTTTTAAATACATAAGTAATAGAAATATATAAGTATTGGGATAATTTCACGCTTTCAAAGTTTATTTATTCATTCATTCTTTCAGTGCACTTTTGCTGATCATCAGCTTTGTGTTAAGTAGTCTGATAGGCCCTGGGGACTCAGAGACACTCAGACACACAGGTCAAGAAGTCATCACAGCTCTGGATGGAAAGTGGTTTAGGGCCACAGGGGTGGCGGTCCTACGTACACAGGCCAGGAGGTCCCTGCATGGGGTGACATGTGAACTGGGCCTTGCAAGACAAGCAAGATTTCACTGGACTGAAAGGGACAAAGAAAGTGCCCCAGGCAGAAGAGCTGGCATGTCAAAGGGGTGTGGGTCTGTGTGCCCAGAGCGTGGGTTTGATGGGGAGTAAGAGTGGGAAGGAAGTTGGGGCAGATGTGGATCTTGCCTGCTCAAACTCTGCAATCCTCACTCCCTCCTCTGAACCACTCTGCCAGGCCCCACTTGCTCTGATAGCACCATTACCTGCCTACCTCAGAGGCCCCTTTCTAGTCCTCCCCCTGCCAGGCCTCTCAGCAGTGACCACTCCCTCCTGAAACACCTTCTGTGAGGCTTCTTCTCGGCTGTGCATGTCACCTCTGTGTCTGCAACATCCCATCTTCTTCACAAAATGTCAGGCTGCAGCAGGGTCAGTCCTTGGATCCTCTTTGTGGTGGTACCCCAAGGGCTGCAGGGTTGTATAGGTGGCTCCCCTTACCCAGTACCCGTAGTAAGGGGTGTGTTGGGTGCAGAGGATGAAAATAGTGAGAAAAAAAAAAAAAAAAACAGACTTCAAGTCCATCTGTTTTTATTGTCAACTCATGTGGCAGTTCTAACCAGGTCCATGATAAAACCTATCACTGGGCAGACTTCCCCACTGCCCTCTCACTGCTGTAGCAGCCTCTCCTTGTCTCTTCATGCCCTCGGGGACCCCTGAAGTACAGCTCCAGCCTTTTCCTCTTATCTTTCCACATTCATGTATCCAGCCACCATCGTATTTGGTTGTATAAACTCATCTGAGACAGAACATGTCGAGAGTGGAAATCTGACTTCTACCCCCACACCTACTCTTTCTCTGGTATTCCTCACTCGAAGAAGTGATGCCACCATTTTCCTGCTTGTCCAGGACAAAAGCATTGAAATCCTTGCGTCTCTTTAACTTCCACCACCAAACAACCCATGAAACCTGTGAGTTCTGCCTTTTACCACACCCAGAACTCAGCCATGCTACGGCTGTTCCCACCGCAGCCTCAACCCCAGCCTTCTCGCCCACATCATCACAATCATCTTCTCATGAGTCGCCTGACCCTCTCACAGCCTGTTCCCTGTACAGCAACCAGGATGGCATTTTTAAATGTTAATACCACTCCATAATGACTTCCTGTCGCAGTTAGAACAAATCCAGAGTTGCTAGCTGGAGACCTGGCATTCCATGTCCCTAGCTATTCATCCAGCCCTGCTCATCCTTCCCAGAATTCTTTGAAAATACCAGATGCCAGGGACCAGCAGTTAGCAATGGCTATGTCGCTGGACTCCCATGTAGTTGACCGCGGTTTGCATCGCGGGCCCGTTGGCTTAAAATCACACCAGGCGTGTGTGCGTGCGTGCCCAAGATCCCGAGAGGAGAATGGAGGAGAAGGGATTATGGCATGGCCATCCCCCCTGGGGAGTGATTTCTCACTTTCTATTTCTCTGTCTCTCTCTGTCTGTCTGGTGAGTGCATGTGCCCTATAACAAAAACCTCTCCAAAAAAAAGAAAATACCAGATGCCGCTAGCCTTTGCACTTGCTTCTCCCCGTGCCCAGAAGGCTCTTTTTCCAGTTATCTTTCTCTCTTGCTTTACTTAGGTCTCTGCTGAAATGCTGCCCCCTCAGAAACCCTTCCCTGAATATCCCAATTCCTCCATCACTCTGCAGCCCCATGCCCTGATTTTTTTTTTCATCATAGCATTTATCCCTATCTGACATTTTACTTTTTAAATGACTCCTATTGCTGCCTCTGCCATTAGAATGTAAGTTTTGTGGAGACAGGGGACGCCTCTGTCTTTTTGCCACTGTATCCCTAGTTCCTAGAATTGTGCTGGCATGCGGTAGGCATTCAGTAGATCCGTTTTTAGTGAGCACGTGACTGGATGAATTTGGGACTCCTCCGTGGCCTGTATAACATGCGGAAGCCAGGCGGTCAGCCTGTGCTGTCTGTCCAACTCCGCTCTTTCTCTTCCAGTAGCCCCTCCCAAAGTCTCAGTTTCCTTATCTTGAAAGTAGGGATGCCGGTGAGTCCTGCTCCATAGGGCTGCTGGGAAGGCTGCAGGCAACAGTGCAGAGAGGCACAGAGGCCCTCACTCTCCTTTCCGTCATGCTTCGGTGGGTTTAATTTCAACAACTGTCACCCTCCAGCTGGTGCAAAAAGTGACCCTATAACTAACTGTTTTACTGTGAACCTTCTGGGTTAGTCTCCATAAACAATGTACTTGTAGGGGGTTATTTGTCCTTAATAACTGACGTTTTCTCACCTTCCTTTGTTGTACTTGTTTCTTAACCTTGTATTTATGACATTTCTTTCACCCTGCTTCAAGAAAAACAAAAGTGTTTTCTTCTTTTGACAGTTGTTATGAGAGCATCTGGACCTCCACCCTGACGTTGTATCAGGGCTCCGTGTACTAGCTTCTCATGCTCCTGAAGTGTTTTGAAAGCAGCAAGTCTTCTGTTAAGCTGTGACCATTTTAACCAGGGCTAGTTTTCTCTAACAGAGTGCTTCTGGCCCAGCCATGGTGGTGTATGCTGATTGACACTGTTCCTCTCAGGCTGAGACTGCAGGGGATGCCAGGGTTCAATTCCCAGCCTGCCCTAAAAAGCCAGGTGCAGTGATGCACACCGATAGTCCCAGCTACTTTGGGAGGCTGAGGCAGGAAGACTGTGACAAAGCAAGACTCTGTCTTTAAAAAGAAAACAATGTTTCCGTTAAATACAGAGCATTGATTTCAGAATTTATGGAGCATCTATGCACATTTCCTTTTTGTTTTGTTTTTTAAGTTCTTGCCATAGGACACGTGTACTCCCTGGAGAGGGGAAAAGAGACAGTGAGAGGGAAAGTGAGAAGTCACCCCCCGGGGCGATGCCCACGCCACAATCCCTTCTCCTCTATTCTCCTCCTGAGGTTTTGGGCACACATGCACATGTGCCCAACATGATTTTTAAGCCACTGGGTCCAGGACTCAAACCATGGTTGGCCATGTGGGAATCCAGCACCTTCACCATCATGCTACCTGCTGGCTCTCTATACACATTTCTTTTTTTTTTTTTTCTTTTTTTTTTTTTTTTT